ACAAAATGTGAATAGAGAGCACGAAATTTAGGGAGAGAGTTAGGCTAACTCGAAAAACAATGAATGAATTAATAGTAAATTGAGTTGTTGTTTAGTAGTATTTGAGTGAGTAGAACAGATTTTGTCGCATACATTTTCAATTAGATAAATACAACAGATTTTTGACATGTATACATATTGAAATAGCCTAGTTTCACAGTTTTCAGAAAAAAATCAGAAGATTTCGAAAAAAAAATGAAAAAAAAACAGCACGCGCGTTGCCGTCAACGCGGAGTCTCGTTGTTTTCTTTTTTTCCCTCCTCAAAAACTCACAGCAAAAAAAGCAAGTGCGCTCCACCGAAACCAAGCCAAAAATTCAACAAAATCCAACGGAGAAGCTGAAAATCGTTGATATTTCATGAAGTCTCATAAATTTTCTTTTTTTTTCTGCGGGGAAAATCTCTCGGGGAAAGAAAAAGACTTTTTTGATAACACAGAAACCGAATTCGCGCGGAAAAAGGGAAAAGAAGAAGAAAAAGGAAAAATGATGGATGACTACTTATTCACACTTGTCAACTCATCATTTTTCTTCTATTTCAATTTTATTTTCGAAATAAAAATAAAAATACATAAATGAAGATAAATGTGTTGATTTCGGTCAGAAGAAACCGGTTTCTGATGAGATTTTCACGAAATTTTGAAAATCCCAATCCCAACTTTCAAAGAAAAATATACGCCTCGAAAAAATCCGCAAACACACGCTCAAACAACAAACACTACGCGCAAACCCTACAGTACCTCCCGGGAAAAGTGTAACGGGAACCCCCCCCCCGGGGGTTTTAGCGGGAACCCTACACTTTTCGGGCGCGGACAATACTAGTTAGCTGAAATCCCAAACCTAAAGAATCCCAAACCTAAAGAAAGAACGGAAAAAATAAGAGTGTATGTCAACACCGACTGCCCGCAAACACCAAATCCTACGCGCAACCTTGACGCGAAATACGCGCTGTGTGTTTTCGCGAAGAAATTTCTGGGGATTTTTAAAAATTGGGAACCCCCCCCCCCGGATTTTAGAAATGGACACGTTTAAAGTATAACATATGGGAACCCTGAGAATCTCTCCAATGTCGCTTTTCCCTTGGAGAATACTAGTTTCGAAACGCGAAAAAAAAAAAAATTTCAAAAATTCAGAAATGAAACTACGGTAGTTGCATACACACCGACGCACAAATGCACATAAACGCGTGTTTTTTCAAAATTTTTCATTTCGCGCTGAAAATTGTGTGTTTTCAGATGTCCGATGCGAGTAATGCTGACGGAGGACGGCCCGAAAGACCGTGGGCAAGTCCGAAACAGGTTGGTGCTTTTTTGGGAGTGGGAAAATGGAAGAAAATCGATATTTTAATGATTCTAAAGAAAAACATGATGGAAAAAGTCTTTTTTGTGAGACATTTTGACTTGAGAATGGAAAATCTTCGAAATTTCGTCTTCACAAAGTTCAATTTTCATTTTCTAACGCTGAAAATTCCAAGAAAACATGATTTTTATCGAAGCGAAGCCTATTTTCGAAAATTTTCATGGGGAAACGCCAAAAAATCATAAATTTCAATCAATTTGAAAAATTGTTGTTCTGAAAAGCTGGAATTCATATAAAATCTATGGTTTTCAGTCAAAAACACCCAAAATCAGCGGAAAGAGGGATCGATGGCAAGAATGACGAGTGAAGCACCGTCGGAATGTGGAAGTGAAGCGAGAAGTGTTATGACTGGAGGAAATGTGGCAGCGGCTGGGGAAAAGGTGAGGGTTTGAGATGGGATTTGTGAAAATTAATAGATTTTGAGCTGCAAATCGTGAAAATTAATGAATTTGAAGCTAAACTCCTAAGATTTGACAGATTTAAATCTAAAATTGGAAGAAAACGTTGAATTTTGAGCTAGAAATCATGAAAAACCACTGTTTCTAGGTCTAGAACTTCAAAGTTTGCCTTAAAATCTCAGGAATCTGCGTTACAAGAACTATAGTCTAGTTTTGGAGAAAAGCATGATTTTTTGCAAGAAACTCTGCATTTTTGCGTCAAGTTGGTTGCAAATTGTGTAACACTCAGTAATTATGAGATATTTTACGCAAATTCTCACTAAAACATCAAACCTTACGAGAAAATACAGAATATAATGGGAAAAAAAACGTAACCTACACGGTATTTACGCAAATCCTCACTAAAACATTGAATCGTACGAGAAACCACAACATGTCAGCCCAATGAAACTTGGCAATCGGTGAGAGTGAAGAAGACTTAGAGAAAAATAGATCAAAGGATCATTGAAAATTGTGGGTCTGAAATTCCATAATTTTTGAAATTGCGGTTGGTGAGCATATTTTGTTTCAGAAAAAATTGAGGATAACTTTTAGTCGCTTGGCACAGTGAAAGTTTAAGAATGAATTTTCAAAAATCAAGCTGAAGCCTAATTCTAGATTTAACAAATCCTAGACCCACAAATGTAACTCGATGTACAGGGTGACCAGAAATTATCCGTGCAAACTAAACCGGTCATAAAAAACTTCAAAATTGGATAGTTTTCAAAGAAATTTTTTGTTAACAATAATAAATGCATAATAATTCCAAAATTATCACGAATGTTGATTTTAGGACTTTTTCAGGGCTTTCTGGGCCTTTAACCAGATTTCTAAAATAGTGAGAAAGGCCGCGTGGAGTTTTGACTTTGTTTAGTACGTGGAAAACTCCAATTGTATTTTTACAACTATAAAATGAGTAAGATATCTTCTAATGATGTTATTTTTCAAAAATTATCACTCCTAGTAACCTTGCGGACTGAGATTCGATGAGCTTCAGAGGCCCAAATAAATTGAAAAAAAAAGAAAATTTTTTTTTCGCGAAAGTAAATTTTTGGTTTTGGTCCAAATGTTAGGTCTTCATCAGCTTTAATGGTCTTATGAATATTTTTAAGTTAGATTAGACTGAGAAAACATGAAAATGTTCAAATATGATCGTTTGTTGTGAGTCGTTGTTGGTTTTGACACTTTTATCAGTAAAAAACAAGGGGCCGAGGGAGTCATGACCGCCCAAACCATCCCCAAAGTCGGAAAATTTAATTACATTTTGGCAAAGGCAGAAGAAGTCGTCTAAGATCCGTTTAGAAACAAGTGAAAAGAGTTTTGAGAATTTACACAGTTGTTGAAGCGAAAAATGGGGCAACATTGTTAACACTACTAGCCGCGGCTCTTTGCCCAATTTCTGACACATCAACATTAGGCGCTCAAGGTCCAAGTAAGATTTCAATTTGATCACGATTTTTTGTGATAATTTTAGAATAGTTATCTATTGATTGGTGCTCAATCGAAAAATTTGTGGAAAATATCATGTTTTTAAATATTTTACGGCCGGTTGAGTTTGCACGGATAATTTCTGGTCACCCTGTAGATCACGCGCGATTTCAATATCTTTTTGTCTCTTTCACTCTCACCGATTGCTTTTTGACATGTTGTGAAACTGCAGAAAATCACATTTCCACATTAAAAATTAACGCGAAACCTCACATCTACCACAAAACTGCATAAAAATCCCATAAATTTCGGGCGACCGCAAAGCAAAAAGAAGCATTTTCGAATATAATACAGCAAAAAAAAAGTTGATACATAAATCACATCCAATAAAAATAAGCATTTATTTTCATTCATTTTTCGACCGCCGGCCCGATTCAAAACAGATTCGAAAACGTTCGTTTTTTTTGAGAAGAAAAAGAAATTCGCCGCATTTTAATGGGCAATTCGTATTGTTTTTAGTGGTGGTGGTGGTGGCAAAAAATGATGAGTTAGCGGAACTTTTTCGTCCTTGATTGCGCGGAAAATGGTGGTTTTCGCGCGAAACTTTGGGGGTTTTCGGTAGAGAATTAGGAAAGTCTGCATTTTTACGTCATTTTCAGTGTATTCTACTGAAAATCCCATGAAAATTTGAATTTTCTGCATTTTTACGTCATTTTCAGTGTTCGTCGATTTCACTGCTTGAAATTTCAACTTACTTTTTTTTATTGAAATCTATTTTCAGCCATTTCCAGAGTCAGTTTTCGCAAAATTCCAGATTTTTGCCAAAAAACAAATTTTACACGTCATTTTTCGAAGGTCACGTGAAAAATCAATTCATTTTGGATTTTTTTTTGCAAGATAAACGGGAAAACATCGGGATTGACGCAAAATTGCAGAATTTTCAACAAAAAACAAAAAATTTCACGATAAACTGAACGAAACTCATAAAATTTCACAAAAATTGATGGCACGCGAGGAATTTTCCATACACACACATGAAATTAAATTAAATTTATGACTTTTTTCGCCAAAAACTCATTTCGCCCATAAAATGATGTAATTTATATGGGGAATTTTCGAATTTTCCCGCCAAAAATGCTATAAAATGAGCAATGGTGGTTGTTGGTGGAGATGGAAAAAGATTAGAATCTTTTTAATTTCAAATGGTGAAAAAAGGCGGTTTCATGGGTCCCGGGGGAAAAATAAAATAAGGTTTTAATTCGCGAAAATCCACGTTTCGGCGGAAAAACACACGACAAAAGTAGTGAAGATGACTACAACAACAACGAAAAAAGCAAAAATGAGTAAGTAATGTGATTTGGTAAGGCTCGACATATAATATAAGTGAGAGAGTGTGTGAAATGAGGAGAGTGGGCGAGAGAAGTGAAGAAATTTTGAATTTTTTTCAAAAATACGATTTTTGGCGGGAAAAATATGATGACGTGGATTTTTGCATTTCTGGCGCGAAAATATTCCCCTCTTTTTTTCATCTCCTCATTAATTCACAAAAATCTCATTATTCGAAGAGCATCTTCTTCCGCCCATTTGCAAAATTAAATTTTTTTTTTTTTTTTTGAAAGAAAAAAAATTCATCACAGGATTTTCATTATGCAAAACAAACAAAAAGGGCGAAATGAAATGAAACAAATTTTTTTTGTAGGGAAAATTTTGAATTTCCAGTTTTGGCGCCAAAAAAAAGTCTAGAAATCTTTGGCGGAAAATTGGGTGTCGAAGGGATTCTCTTCTTGACGCACTGGGAGAATTCGAACTCGAGCCTGAAAAAATTAGGATTAGGCTTATTTAGGCCTATCTTCAAATTGATGAAATATTTTGAGGTTTCCGAGAATTCCAGGCTTCAAAAATGTAGGCCTTTCAGGCCCAGCTTCCTCACCTTCTGATCCCTAAAATTGATACATTGCTCAATGAGTTCTGTCAAATTCCGATCCGCCAAATTGTGCATTCGCTTGTCCAAATCGCTGAAAATCTCTAGATAGAATTGAAAATTTCGGGTCAATTTTCACGTACACAAATTCGTCCTGTTGCAAAAGTCCATCCAAATCCACAAATTCGTGAGTTCGATTCGACAACTCGCTCAACGTCATACTTTTCATCACCGGTTGATTAAAGACAATCGAATTGAACAAGAGATCCAGCAAAAGACACGTGGATATGTCTTTTTTCTAGAAAAAGAAAAATCGATTTTTCCTTTTTTAAAGGACGCTACAGTATTCCGCAACCCACCGTATTCAACTCGCTGCACAAATATCGTTCACACGCCCTTTTAAGCACTGGTAGATCATTCAATTCGGCGTCGATCAGAAAATCGACAAAATCCTCGATGTATTCCATTTGTGGCAGAACGACTTTGTTGAAGTAGAGATTTGCGAGCATCTGACAAGAAAATATGTGAGAATTGGCCACGCCCCCTTTTCTGCAATTCTGCGGCACACTTTTTCTCCCCTTTCCTCCCCAACTCACATCATGAATATGCTCCTTATCCTGTTGATCACACTCAAAATGTGGTTCGCCTTCCTCTTCATCTCCTCCAGCTCCCTCATCCTCTTCAAAATCCTCAGCTTCATCCTCGGTTTTCGCGTCATACATAATCGAAAGTCGTCGTTGCTCACACGACTCACAACAACTCACCAAAATCCGTTTGAAGATGTGATCATCCAGCGCGGATTCGTGCAAATTTTCGCGAAATTGTGAAATCAAACTGGCTCGCCGTGAGCCCGAATCCAATTCGTTGTTTTTGGTCTTTTTCGAAAATCCGCTCACGCTCGTCGTCCAAAATTTCCTGCACTTTTTTCTCGTAGTTGATTTTCTCCTTGTCACTGATGCAGTGTTTGAGAGAGCGGCACGTTCTGAAAAATTCGATTTTTGCGCGAAATTTTGAAAATTTATGATACGCTTAGGGTTACTGTAGATTAATTTTGGCACATTTTGAAACCGAATAAACCTAGGGTTACTGTACAATCTGAAATTCCGCCATTTTTGACACCTAATAAGGCTTTTGGCACCTTAGGATTACTGTAGATCAAGTTTCGTTGTCAAAAAATCCACGTGGTAATTTCAAATTCTAAATTCTCGCAATCAAAAGCAACTACAGTACCCAAGTTAGTTCCAAACTGGAATATTTTGTAGGAAAAAATGGTTTTTGTTTAGAATTTTCAAACTGAAACCTACAGTACCCACGATTTAGCCAAAATCATCTACAGTAACCCTAGGCATGTTTGGTCTCAAAAAATTCCCAAAAACCGCACCTTTTCTTCGAACGCCTTCTCCAAACCTTACTATTAACCCTCGCATTATAATTGGCCGTCAAAAACGATGCTCTCGGAGTTGGCGAAATCGAATCCAAATAAGTGAACGGCTCAAAAAGTCGACTTTCCATATGCAAAACCACCGAAATCCTAACGATTTTGTCCACATTTTCCTTCAAATATTTCGAAATTTTCGACGAATCCTCTGTGATTTCACACTCCACGCCTTTTTGCATTTTCAAACTTTTCGATTCTTTCATCGTCAGAATCGCTGGATTCGGATTCGGATTCTGAGTGGACGAATTCTCAAAAGTGCCAACATCTGCCATAATTGTCACCTCATTTACGGGTCCATCCACAAAATACAAGTCGACTGCCACGTAATCATCTTTTTCCTCATCATCCTCTTCGTCTTCGGACTGCAAAAATGAGGGTACTGTAGGTGATTTTTAAGTTCAGGAGTACTGTAGGCAAAAAATCCACGTTTTTTGACACCAAACATGCCCGGGGTTATGCTACTTAAACTATCCGGTGTGAAAAATTCATAATTTTTGCGCCTACAGTAACCCTAAGCATATTTACTATCAAAATGCTCCAAAAACCCGCCAGAGCTCACCATTTCTTTGGTAGAATGTATCCGAATATTCCACTGAAACGAGATCAATTGATGAACAGTGGCAAACTTTGGCGAAATTGACAAAATCGTCGAATCTCCATCTGCCGTAATTCTCGTTTTGATTCGAGTTGTCCACGTGTAACAAAATGAGATGTACGAAGTTCCAGAAGTGGTGGATAGAGATGGTGAAGATGGTGTTGAGGTTACACTCATTTTAGCTGGAAATCTGATTTTTTAAAGCTGAAATTTGACTGAAAACACACTAAAAAACAGGTATTTTTGACTGAGAACTCACACATTTCAGCCCTAAAACCCTCTCTCAAAAAATTGGGAAAAAATAAACAAAAATTCCATTTTTGTTTTTTTCGCCGCTTCGCAAAAATATTCAAATTTAAACCCTATTATGGGGAGTCAGAAAATAATTTATGCCAAATTATTTTTTTCGCTGAAAAAAATTTGTGTTTTTTTTTTTGCATTTTCATTTGAACAAAAACACAAATCTTTTATTTTGGGGGAAGTTTTTTATTCATTTATTCTGAAAACAAGAAAACATGGATCGAATTTCAAAAAAAAACAAATTTTTTCTCTCAAACGACACTCCGCAATTACGCAATGAAATGGGAGAATAAGTAATAAATCTATAATACAAAAGAAAAAAGGGGAGAATTAAATTACAGGCATGCGGAGTGTTGTAGATATTTTTTAAAAATTTTTATTTTTGTTTATCGTTTTTTTTAATTTGAAACGTATTTTTTTCGGGATTCATTTTTTAATCATGAGCAATGATTGAAGCTGGGATCAAAGAACTTCAAGATTTGCCCCAACTCTTCATTCACTTTAAAAAAAATGTTTAACATGAGCAATGTCTAAATTTTTTCAATAATATACAGTTTCCATACTAGAACCGACATGGATCAAATAAAGAATTTTTGAGAAAAATTATATCAAAATTTTGAAACGTACTTTGCACAAGATCCATTTTAAGCAGGAAAAGTCTGTGATTTTTATTAATATGAGCAATGTTATCTTCATTCTCTTTTTTGCAAAAAAAAAGTTTAACATGAGCAATGTTCAAAATTGTTAAAGATCCTCCCAAACCAAATGCAATCCGGAAAACTCGGCAGCAACCAGAAACGTCACCAAAATCGTCAACGACACTCCACAATCCCGCCATTGATTTTCAGGCTCCTCAATTTTATAAATCCAAAACCAGCCCATCAAAAAGCCCGCGAGAAATCCGGAAATATGACAACTCAGACTCCACAAAGTATATGGCCAATGTTCAAGATATATACCATCAATCAAAAATGCCACGTCATAGGTGAAAGTGATCACGAAAATGATCAGAAGACGCACCCACTTTTGCGCCACAAATTCCGGATTTCTACAAATATTCGCCACGTGGCAACCGACTACAGTATAGCCGAGAATGATGTCGACATAATGGAAATTTTTGAAATCATCTAGTAGAATTCGGGCAATTAGAGATGAATAGATCCAGGAGATTAGGTGGATTTTTGCGAGATTTAGAGTGCCGTGGTGGATTTCGAGGGGCCAACTAATTAGCAAAATGATAAGAGTGAAGCTAATTAGATGAATGATGACTATGCAAGTTGAAAAGTTGAATTGCTCATGATAGAGATAGTTGATGATGTAATAAGCTATGGAAAATATCCAGACGAGGCATGTGAAAATTGGAAATTTGGTGGAAATTGTTTGCTGCTCTGGGGTGAGCACCAAATTTAGTAGGAACTTTTGGAGCATCATTTTTGGGCCGGAGAATTTTTGTTTATGAAGAAAATTGGAAGAGGAATTGATTATTTAGAAATTTGAGAACTTGAAAAAAAATTACAGGTGAATCTATGGTAAGAGACGCATAGGAACTGATTTTTTTCCTGAAAGTTAGAGACGCAGAGTGGTCGGCTTTAAATTCACAAAACTGTTTTACCAATACAAATTTCATTTGAAGTTCCCTTAAGCCTCCTTTAAAGTTCCATTAGCAAATCGTTCAGGAATAATTTCCATAACTGGCTCAGCACGATAGCATTTCTTGTCATCATATTTTTGCTCGAAACAAATCAGTCGATACAGCAAATATAATCCAGCAAACAAATTGATAGCTTGAAAAATAATAATGCAAATTACACGAAGTGGCGAGCCAATGAAGCGACGCAGTTTTTGGCTGAAATGAAAAAACCCCCTTTGATGAGTACTAGGTTTTCCGACTCACCCAAAAGCACTTCTAGTCTTCTCCAATTTCTCGCTGAAATATTTCGATATCTTCTTCAAATACGTGGAAAACGTCATAGCTACGATCATAGTGCACAACCCAAATATAATATATTTCCCCAAAAGTGGAATCTTCTCAGTTTTCGGCAATTTATCAGCAATCAAAGCCAGGATAAAAGTCATAGTCATAATATGAGTTAGACCAACTGTCAATCTATCCATTTTCTCTGTATTTTTCATAAAGACTCCAGCAATCGAGATTGCATTAATAATGAATGTTGGGAGAACAATCATATACATGTAGAACATTGGGTTTCTTTTGAGGTGTAATTTGATGACTCCCAGTTTATTGTTGTCGAAGTTACTGTCACCTGATAGGATAACTTCTTGACCATATGAGATATTGAAAATGTCCCACGCAGAGTTTCCCTGGAATTTTTTGGTTTTTTTAAAGTTTGTTATTTAAGCGGTATATTGAAACTATCTTCAATCTAATTAATTAACTTTAAAGGGGGAGGGGGTACAACTGAAAAAAAGTTATTTGCACTTTAAGTTAGGGTGACCCCCCCCCCCATAATTAATAAGTTAAAACCCCGTTAATAACCTATACAATATTATGTTAAATTACATTTTTCTCATAGAAACAAGATTTAAGGATTCAAGTTAAATCATATAATGATATAAACCCGCTTGACTACACAAGAAAGTCCCCAACTTATAACAACTCACCAATGTGCATGAATTCACAACATACTCCGGTAAATACACCCCAATTTCAAATCGATGTGGTCCATGCAAAGGCAATCCAACACGAACTTCACAAATCTGCGTGTCAAATGGGAAATCCCTCATATTCATCTTACAATTTGTTGTCATCTTCAAAGGAATGAGCACAAAAACATCACCATTATGCCAAACTTGGGCAGTTCGATAATTCTGGTCACGATGCTCCACAACTTCACTAGCTCCAAAGGCAGTGAAAGGTAATGACCAGATTTTCTCAAGACGTGTAGTGAGTTCGGTTATTTTTCCATATTTTTCAGGGTCCCAAATCAATCTTTCATCCTTCCAATGTTGAACTAATTCCATTATCACAGTCATTTGCTCTTTTGGCTCATCAACATCAATTAATTTTAGCTGAGGCACAAAAATTGTATAGTTCCATGGAATTGGGTTTTCATCTTCTTCGGCAATATGGCTAATTGTGAATGGTGAAACTTCTTTTTCATAATCGTCACCCAAAATGTCTTTTGTTAGATTCTTCAGATAATATATGGGAGGGTACTCTGAAATTAATTTTTTTTTTTTGAAAATCTAATTATCTATCTGAAAATCTGTTTACCATCTTCGAAGAATGTTCCATTCCCTCCTTCATCACTGAACTCGCCATTCTCGAGCTCAAGATTAGCTCCATTTTCAGTTGCTTCCCCAAAACTTCCAATAATCAAGAAGAATAATAGAAGAATCAACATAGTATGAATGAAACTGAAAACTTTTCTGGAAAAATCGGAGGTGGGCTGAAAATGATTGATAGGCTGGAGAACGGAAAATTAACAAGTTTTATCAACTTTTTTCTTGACCAGAAACGAGAAGAAAAGGAAAAAATCAAGGAATGATAATTTCACTTTTCATATATACTTGTAATCAAAAAAAAAGAAAAGAACCAAGTTATCAAAGTTCTTTGTATGAACCATTCGCAAAAATTTCCGGAATAATATCCATAGTTGGTGTTGCCTCATAGCACTTCCTGGTAGTATATTTATATTCGAAACACATCAATCGATAAAGTAGATATAATCCGGCTAACAAGTTTACAGCTTGGAAAATGATAAGACAAATTACACGAAGTGGTGTGCCGATGAAGCGACGTAGTTTTTGACTGGAATGGAAAAATGTTCTAATTTTTCCAAAAAATTAAGAGGTTGAGTTAAATAAAATGACTCACCCAAAACTACTTCTAGTATGTTCCAAATGTACGTCAAAAAATCTCGATATTTTCTTCAAATATGTTGAAAAAGTCATAGCTACAATCATCGTGCACAACCCAAATATGATATATTTCCCCAGTAGTGGAATCTTCTCAGTTTTCGGTAATCTATCAGCAATCAATGTCAAAATAAAAGTCATCGTCATAATATGAGTTAGCCCAACTGTAAGTTTATCCATTTTCTCCGCGTTTTTTAGAAAAACTCCAGCAATCGATATTGAATTTATAATGAAAGTTGGCAGAACAATCATATACATGTAGAACATTGGGTTTCTTTTGAGATGTAGTTTAATTACCGCGAGTTTGTCGTGGTCAAACATCGTGTCGTCTGATAGAATCATTTCTTGTCCATAAGTGACATTTATGATATCCCAAGCAGAGTTACCCTAAACTTATGACTTGTTACATAGATAGGCTTCGGCCCCACAGCGAAAAAAAAAATTGTTTTTTCGTTTCCGTGTGGAACGCTTGAGAGCAGTTCACGCGAGAGAAAACGAGAGAGTAAAAATTAGCGTGTGTGTGCAGAAGAGGCGCCAGACGAAAAAGGGATATGCATAATTTTTTATTGAAGTTCCGTGGCGAAGGTTTTTGAACAAAACAATTTTTTTTCGCTGTGGGCCTCACGTCTTTCAACAAGCCTGACATACCAGTGTACACGAATTGAGCAGATGATTTGGTAATATCATTTTAATCGTAAAAGTGTGCGAGCTGTGTAACGGTAATCCCAGACGAATCGCACAAATCTGCGTGTCAAATGGAAAATCATTCATCAACATCTTACACTTCGTCGTCATCCGCAACGGAATATGCACCATCACCTGACCTTGATTATAAATCTGAGCTGTCCGATAATTCTGGTCCCGATGCTCCACAACTTCACTCGCACCATACGCAATAAACGGCAACGACCAGATTTTGTCAAGTCGTGTAGTGATTTGCGAAATATTGCCATACTCTTCAATATCCCACTCTAATCTCGCATCATGCCACGATTGCACAATTTCCATTATCACAGTCATCTGCTCTTTTGGCTCATCAACATCGATTAAATTCAGTTGCTGCACACCAATACTGTATTTCCATTTTTTGATGAAAAGTGAGGAATCAGCTGTGTAGTTTTCATCATATAATAGGTCTACAAGTTCTGGATATTGATAATCTTCGCCAATTGAGAATGGTGACACTTCGGCGTCATATTTGTCGAAAACTTTTTCGGTCAAGTTTTGAAGATATTTCGACATCACATATTCTGCAATTTTTAAGTAGAGGGAAATTTTTACGTAAATGAGTATTTAACTGTTTCAAAAAAAATTTTGACTGAAAACCTATTAAAGTAAGTAAGTAAAAAAATAATTAAGATTATTTTATTTTGAGAAAAAAGTTTTTTTTTAAATTTTCAACTTAATTATGTCAAAATTCCCTATACTTAGCGGTTTTTTACGAATTATTCGAGCCATTAAACCGTAAAACGTGAAAATTCCCCGATCTTGAACTTACCATCTCCTAAAAACTCATCCGATTCCTTCATTAAATTGTCGTATTTCTCTGAATCTGAACATTCCGCGAAAAAAATCAAAAACAATATATAGAGACAATAATAATAATACATTTATTTTTCGGGAAGAACAATGAAGAAAATAATATTTCAGTGCGCGGCGCGAGAAATGAAATGAATGATTGTTATCAAAAAAGAAAGGGTAAAAAGTTTTTTGATCTGGAACCAAACATTGATCATTAGCGAATTATTTTTTGTTAGGAAAAAAAGAATGAAACATCGTGTAGCGCAGAACTACCTAAAAAATATTTTAATAAATATTTTTTTAAATGAAAAATCTGAACGCTTACCGCTCTTCGGAAGGCTTCATTACCTATTTTCACGCAAAAAAGTTTCTGATTCTATGAGAATTAGAAGATTCGATTCATTTTGCATACATATTTTTGTCGAAGTTGAAAAATGTGGAAGCCCTAAAAAATGAATGAAAAAAACATTACTTCGGACTCTGTCGCATTTTTTGTTTTTTTTTTTGTTTTCTTTCCGCCCCAAACATCTGGAATCCAGATTCTGGATTTTGTGAAAGGTCACCGCATTTCAGTCATTCGCTATCAACCCATGATTTTTCTCCTGATAATTATAATAATTTCAAGCAACCAATATGTGGTTTCAGGTGGGTTCACAGACTTTATAAAGAAATCCCGTTTTTCTACAGAACCCCCAATCCTTGACGTGCAGACAAATTTGACAAATACAATTTTCGTCCAGAATTCCTATGACAAAGAGGTCTCACCGTGTCCACTGATTTTTCCTTCAAAAAATAACCGCTCAATTTTCAACGCCACCGAAATCTGGAAATACCAATTGTTTTTGTCGGACATCAAATTGCTGGAAGTTGACGAGCCGAAAGAGCAAATGACGGTGATAATGGAAGTTGTGCAGGTCTGGCGCGATGCCAGATTGACGTGGAAATGGGAGGATTGGGAGAATATTATAATGATTTATACGCGGCTCGACAAAATTTGGTCTCCGCCGTTTATTGTGTTTGGCGCGTGAGTTTTTGTTTAGTGGAAAAAGTTAGGTTTGAATTTTCTCAAAAATATGAATGAAACTTTATTCTCAAGAAGAATTCATCAAGATTTTATTCACATTGAGCCTCGGCGGGAAAACAAACCCCTCTACAACAATATCTTGGAGAAGCACAAATTTTTTCTGTACAATACGAAGCGGTCATTGAGAAGATGGTGAAGAGGAGAACAATCAAGAATTTCATGATTAGCGATTGATTTTTCGGATGTATTCAATAAACACTTTTATACAGAAATCATTTGATTCGATTATTTGCGTTCGCAAAGTTTTCTATTCTATTTTGCAGCTCAAAATCGAATCAATGATTGATCAGGAACTTTTTGCAATTTTTGCACATAAACAAAAATAATCTTGGGGTTTTCGATTGTTCTCTTCTGAATTCAGTTTTCAATTTTTTCCGAAAACTAGTTCGACCAGCGCCAAACTTTCAACGCGTGAAGAGCATGAGTAGAAGGGTTTTTCTCTGGAAGCTTCTCAAACATTAGTTTAAAATTTGAAAGTTTCGAAAAAACAGTGAAGCACCGTATAAAATGGATTGTCCTCAGGGGAAATCGTCCCACCGGTGGGAATCCGGTGGGAAAAATGAGCAAAAACACCGGTGGAACCCCAGAATCGGGGTGAGGGGCCTAACTTTTTTCAAAAATTTGAAGGTAAGGGTGCCTAACTTGGCCAATTTTCAATTGATAATTTACCAAAATTCCCAGATTTGTCCAAAATTCGCTCAAAATGTGAGGAAGGTGTTTAAATTTGAAAAATTTTCAAGGTTGGACCCTAACTTTGAAAACTGACTCGGGGGACCTATTTTTCGTATGGGTGTTGAGTGAGTGGAGATTTAGTGTTACACCGGTGGGACGATTTGCCTTAGTCCGTTACATAGTTTGGAGCTGTGCGTTCCACGGCGCGTTTTCCTTTACGCGAGCAGCCGTCGAGAAAAAAATGGAAAAAGAATCAGAAAAAAGGTCAGAGAACGAGAGGAAACAAGTGAAAAGATGATGGCGCAATGAGAAAATTGTGTGCGATGGAGCGCGCTTTCTCTCCTCTTCTAAAAATTTCTCGACGGTCTTTTTGTTCAGGCGACGTAAAGAAAAGCGCACCGTGGTTCTCGGCCAATTCCGGTTTTTATGAAAATTTGTCAATGGCTTTTTTTAACCAGGAGCATACCACGGGTGCACGGCGCCAATAAAAATAAAAATTTACGAAAATTCATCTCGCTAATTTGAGATTTTCTTGAAAAACAGCAAATTTTTGCTTGTTTTTCCGTTAAAAGTGGTCTTTTTCAGTCGAAAAGGTTGTTTTCACCTCGCCAAAAAATTTCAAAACCCACACCGTCAATTTTCAAAGTTAATTTGCGCGAAGCTGGGTGTGGTATGACCAGGAGACAAAAACTTTTGAATTGAAACTGATTATATCAGACTCCACCTTTACCAATGTATATACTTACAGCAGCGAAGTCATGGAACATCGCGATCAAGCAAATCGAATGGTTCAAATCGTCCACAATGGTATGATCGATTCACATATTCCATTAAAACTGACAACAAATTGTAAACTAGACATGACTGATTTTCCATTCGACATTCAAACATGTTCAATTCAAATCGGTCTTCCATCATTCAATTCCAAGTTATTCGAGATATCCGTAGATGTTCCTCGAGATATTGCACAATCGACAAATTTAGGCAATTCAGTGTGGCGTGTGGTAAAACTGACATGGGAGAGTCAAGAAATTAAGCCAGAGGATAATAAGACGGATGTTATAAAGATGGCAGTCATTAAATTGCACCTCAAGCGAAACCCGATTTATTATATGTATATGATTGTTCTCCCAACTTTTGTGATCAATTCAATTTCGATGGCTGGGGTTTTTATGAAAAATGGTGAGAAGATTCAAATTGGGCTAACTCATATAATGACTCTAACTTTTATCCTTGGAATACTTGCTGATAAATTACCCAAGACCGAAGTCATCCCATTTTTGGGCAAATATATTATCTTCGGTTTGTGCACCATGATTTTCGCCATTATTTTGTCGAGCCAAATCGATAAGTTATTGCATGTGGTGAAGAATGGGAAAAATGTTAGAAGAACTCCCTATCGTTGCATTTTTATAATCTGGTTTCAATTCATTAATTTGCTTGGCGGTGTTTATGTTTTGTTGAGATTGGTGGATTTTGAACAACGCTCAGGATATGATTGATTGTGATGGTGAAATGTGTTTTTCACGTAATAAAACTGCAATCCCTTAGTTATGACGTGGCAAAAGTTGGTTATCAAAATACGTCAAAATCGATCTGGTGGTAACATCGATTTATTATATTATTTTCACAAAATCATAGATAGTATAAAATAAAGTGGATAAAAATAAAGAGAGAGAGACAGTAGGAAAAACGGAGAAACATGGAAAAATTGTCGTTTTGGGACCCAGAATAGCAAAAAAAAATTAATAAAAAAACTACAGTGTATTTAAATTGGTACGGTTTTTAAAGGAACATCATTCGACAGAAATGTACATATGTGTGTGTGTGTGTGTGTGAAATGGAACAAAAATGGAGAAAAATCGGAAAGTGTTTTTTTTTGGGATTTTCGGAATTTTTTGGACAAAAACATAAGGGAAAAAAGCGGGATGTACAAAAAGAGAACGGGATTTCGGGGGGAAAACATGGGCGCCCGCATTTTATTCAGTCAAGATCTTCGAGAACGTTGAATTGCGACAAGGCAGCCTGAAAAATAGGGCAAATCTCCCTTTTTTGAGAAAAAATTGAGAATATCTTCAAAGTTTAATTGAAAAATCCACGTGGCAAATGTTTAAAAAATTTGGTCCAAAAAATCCACTTGAACTAGATTTTTGGCGGGAAATTGAAAAATTCAAATTTTAAAATTTTTGACGCCAAAAATGCCACGTGGCAAACTTGTTAACAAAACTTTTCAGAATTTCAAGAAATAAACTTTGGCGGAAAGATTAAAAATTATTTAAATCGCATTATTTGGGCTCGGATTCAAATTTATAAGAATTTTTTTTGAAAAATTCAAAATTCCATTTTTTGGCGCCAAAAACTGCCCCTAATCATGCTTGGTATCAAAAAAATGCGAAAATCCTCACCTGTTCATCATATTTTCGTTTCCAGGCGGCCATATTGACCGGTTGACGACAAACCGGACACGACGATTTGGTTTTGAGCCACGGCTCGATGCACGGACGATGGAAGATGTGATCACAGTCGAGTTTGCCGACTGGGTCGTCTGCAAAAAATTTGGGGGGTTACTGTAGATCGATTTTGGAGAGCGAAAATTTGGGGGCTTAAGATTACTGTAGTTAATTTAGCGGAGAGAAAAATCTGGTTTTTGAGTCCAAACAAGCCTAAGATTACTGTAGATCAATTTTGGCGCGAGAAAATTTTGAAAATTTTCAGATTTATATCAAATTTAGGTTCAAAATGCTCCAAATTTCATGAAATTTTCCAATTTCCCCCCAAAACCCCCTCAAAAATCCTGACCCAATTTAAAAGTGTCAAAACAAGTTGTGCACTGTGCTCCATTTTCCACGTGTTTCGCCGTGACTTTTGTCATTGGCAAATATTTTCTGATTTGATCCTCGGTGAAACCGCGTTGTGAATTGCCGTGATTTCCGAATGTGGCTGTCATTCCAGTTGTGTCGAGAATCTGGAAAAATATCGATTTTTGGCTGAAAAAATGCTGAAAATCATAAAGTTTTCTGAAATTTAACACAGAAAATCTAGAAAATCCATTTTTTTTTTTCATTAAAAAACGAATAGGATTTTTAAATTAAATTTTTCTGGTAGAAAGTTGGATTTAATTATACATTAATTAAATCTGGAACCGAGATTCGCGTGATTTTTTGAACTTTTGGGAAAAATTGCAGATTTATACATGAAATCTTGAATTTCAAGTCAAAACCGACCGATTTATTTGAATTTCAGCTTAAAAATCACTGAAAATCTCGAATTTTGCTTCAAATTCCAGATTTTCAGGTAAAAATCTTGAATTTCACGTAAATCAATGAAATTTTCAATGTTGGGTGAAAATTGATCAAATTTTCTGAATTTCAGCTTATGGGGCTATTCAAGTATTTTCTCAACACGCTGAGAAAACAGGAGAAATGCGGAGAAAATGCATTTTCTTCACTTTTTTCGTATTTTCTCAGCCTACCTGAATAGGTTTTCTTCGCTTTTCTCAGCGTTGAGAAAATAACTTGAATAGCCCCATTAAAAATCACTGAAAATCTCGAATTTTGCTTCAAAATTCGTCAAATTCCAGGTTTTCAGGTCAGAGATCCTCAATTTCAAGTAAATCAATGAAATTTTTGATTTTGAGTGAAAATTGATTGAATTTTCTGATTTTCTGGTCAAAAATTGAGTTTTACGTCAGTTTTTGAAGAAAAAAGGGGATTTTTTTTTGAAATCCAGCTCAAAAATTGAAATTCACTGAAAATCTGGAATTTCGGTTCAAAATTATTCACCTGTTGCAAATACTCTGGCAAATTTCCAGCGACCATTTCGGCCAACATATTTTCCGGGAAATTCATCTGAATCGTATTTCTTCCTCCTCCCGCAGCTCCCGCAGCTCCATTTTCAGCCGCATTTCCAGCCGCAGCCGGTCCATTTCGAATAGTCATTCCGTTGGGTGTAATTTGTACATGTACACTGAGTGGGCGTCCCGCGTTTCCGCCTCCCGCCGCCGCAGCTCCCGCATCTCCAGCCGCCGCGGCTCCCGCAAACAACTCGCGCATCCATTCCTCGAGTCCTCCGCGTGCCGCCGCAATCGGAATCGCTTCAGCCGCTCCGCTGCCACGTGGCAAATTGACGCGACGAACTCGTGGTGGTACGGGATTTGCGGCAGCGGCAGCAGCAGCGCCTTCCGCGGCCGGTGCACCGCCTTCCGCAGCCGGTTCTTCCGGAATTTGTCCGAAAATCATTGCGCCTTGCGCGCCGCCGAATTGGTGACGGACTTCTTCGATGAATTCGCCGCCGCATTGAGCGCAGATAAAATCCTGCAAAACAAATTGGGTTACTGTAGGTTTTGGCGCCAAAATTTGGGATTTTTTTGATAGTAAATAAGTCTAGGCTTAGAATTAAAGTAGATCAACTTTGGCGCTCAATTTTTTATCTGAAATTAATAGTTTCAGCCAATTTTGTATCAAAAATCTTGAATTTTTCGATTTTTTGAACTGAAATCTGAAATTTTCAGAAAATTCATTCATTTCATCCAAAATATCCCATTCTTGGCTTGAAAATTTGCATTTTTCAGCTATAAAATTGAAAATTTGGCAAATTTCATGGATTTTAGCTGAAAATTCATCAATTTTAGGCCTTTCCAAAGCAATTTTTGACCATTTCTAACTTTTTTGAGCCCAAAATTCCCTTGCCAAAAGCACTTACCGCATCTCTCAAACTAACTGTTCTCTGACATTGATAGCAAAAATACTGTGGCATTTTTGCTGCTCTAAAAATTCTTTTTTTCAAAAAAAAATCCCAAAAAAATAATCAAAGATATCTCAAAAAAGGTCAAAAAACCTTGGAAAAAAATAGAAGAAAATTGAGAAAACTGTGTTTTTTTTGCAGGTAAAAATCAACAAAAACAAGGAGAAAAAAAAACAAATAACATGTGTGAATAGAATAGAAAAAAAAACAAAGAGAAAATGTGTTTTTTTTTTTTTGAGTGGCCTAGGAATTTTGGGGGACTAGAAAACCAAATATGTGGATTTCTTGGAATTCTAGGTCAGCAGGTGCGGATTTTTGGGAAATTGCAAAAAGGGTGTGCTATGACGTGGCAAATTTTTTGAGCGGAAATCGATCCAGGAGTTCAAAAATAGGCTAAATTTTAGAAAGACCTTCAATTTTCGGAATTCAACTTCAGGAGCTCAAATTTCAGGAAAAATTTCAAAAAATCACCCCAGAAGCTCAAAAATTCGCCCAAAATTCCCATTCCACTCAAAAAACCACAACAAAAACCACGAATCACTTCCTTCTTCCGCCTCGTTTCGCCTCATTCCGATTCCGATTCTGTTTCGATCGATTATTCATAGTTCTCACACCCAACATTGCACTTCTCGAAACAACATCATGAAGTGTAAAAGGACCATCAGCCAGAGGATCCATATGAATCTTGGCCATTCTCATATGAGGCATCGGTTGATCTTCGAACAATTTCTCGTTGACACTGTGTTTTCCGCCTTTTGGTTCGGCTAGAGTGTAGCGGAGACCGCGAAGATTTGCGAGCCGGTTCCAATTGATGTGAAGTTGTTGCTCGCCGTTTTCATCGACTGAGACGGCGCACTGAAAAGAAACATTGGAAATTTTAGAAAAATTCAAAATTTGGGCATAGCTTCCGCAAGCTTGGCTGAAAATCCAATTTTTCACCTGAAAATCGAAAGTTCAGATGGAAAATTGGATTTTGGCCAAAATTTCGTGTTTTTTGATAATTTTGCTGATAAATCCAGGAAAACTAGATTTTCAGCCAGAAATTCAAAATTTGGGCATAACTTTCGCATCCCACCCAAATCCAAAACTGAAAAATTGTCTGAAAATCACAAGATTCATGGGAATCTTGGGATTTTCAGCTTTTGCAAATTTTCAGCCAAGGAGATGACAATTTTCCATTCAATTTTACGAGAAAACATTTTGTTGTGAGGAAAATTGTGAATCTTCAGCAACCAACAATTTTTCTTCCGTAAAAATCTAACAAATGTTTGAAAACCTATTTTTTTCTGATAAACATGTCATTGATAATTTTTTAGGTGATGAGAAAACTTCAGTTTTTGTCCAATGAAAGTATATATAAATTTGAATCGATAATTTTTTCTGATAACAAAACTCATTCTTTCAAAGTTTCTCATAAATAAAATGACAAACGAAATTCGAAATGAAATAGAAGAAATTCGAAATAAAGAAGAAGAAATTCGAAATAAAATAGAAGAAATTCGAAATAAAGAAGAAGAAATGCGAAATAAAGAAGAAGAAATTCAAAATAAAATAGAAGAAATTCGAATTCAAATAATGTGAGTTTACGTTTATCTTTACTGAAAACCAAAATTAAAAATATTCAGAAAAAAAAAAAATTGATTGAGGATTTGAAAAATGAAATAAAAAGGTAGGCGAATTGTATTAATTTGAAAATTTTCAAAATTTCAGAGTGGAGATGAGAAATTACAGAGAAGAATTGGCGTGGAAAATATTTAACACAATAAATTTACTAATTTTTATTCATAACTGTATTTGGTGATATAAAATTTCAGAAGTTTTTTTTTAGTTTCCAGAAAAATTGAAAATTTGGGCATAGCTTCTGCCTCCCAGCCAAATCCAAAACTGAAAAATTGTCTGAAAATCATAAGATTCATGGGAATCTTGGGATTTTCAGCTTTTGCAAATTTTTAGCCAAGGAATTGACAGATTTCCAGAAGTTTTTTTTTCTGTGTAATTTTCAGTGGTAAAAACTGATGAAAAAATCGTATAGCTTCAAAAAAGTCGCATTTTTTCAAAACAAAAAGTGCTATAAGCTTTTTTTATAGATGAGTCACGTCCAGAAAAAATATTCTGAAAAATCTTGATAAGAAGATGTCACATTTTCTCAAAAAGGTTTCCAGAAAAAACTCAAAATTTCGAAAGAAGAAAAGTTTTTTTTGGAACAAAAAAAACCGGTTTTTTACTTTGGAAAAAAACAAACTAGAAACATTTCTAATGTTTATTGGCTGAAATTTACAGAATTTTCAGGTTTTTTGGTTGTAAGATGGGAAAATCATTATTTTTGGGGGCAAAAATCATTTCTGGCTCATCTAGACTCGAAAAATCCCAAAATTTTCTCTCCAAAACCATCCCAGACATGTTTAGAACTAAAAAACACCCAAAATACCTTATGCAAAGTCTTATGTCCACAAGCCGGACAAAACTCTTTAGTCATAATCGAAGTTGTCGTAAAACACGTGCGACATCGCAAAACAAATGATTTCAACTTGCGAATACGATAACCATTTAGTGAAACCAGGCTCAAATTCATAAAAAGCAACACATTTTGAAGTGCAAAATCTGTAGTAATACATCCAACCAACATTCCTTCCTCAACTTCAAATCCTCCCAATTTCTTCAAGGTTTCATCAATATTTTCTGCCGTGATCCAACCTTCGTCTTCAGAATCTTCTAGCTCAGATTCTGAATCTTCTGCTGCTGATTCCGCATCTGAAGCTTCTCCCTCTGAAGTTACCCGAACTTCTCCCAATTTTTCATTGAGTTCCTCCATGTTTTTCTTTGAGATCTCGGCAATCTCTTCTTCACTAGATTTCTCCGCGACTTCCGATTTTTTCACCACAAATTGTTGATTTAAATCATAAGTCAACGCGATAACCTTCATATCAACCATACTCAAACTTTGAAAATCTCCGGTTTTCTTGGCGGCTTCGATGACTTCTCGAAGAGCTTGTGGAGTTGGCTCGCGGAGCACAACTTCGAACGGCAAAGTGTCCCATATTTTGCGCGCTTTTTGAGATTGAAGTTCGCTGATGATTTCGTGAGGAGCGTAGTAGAGTTCGGCGAGTTGCTGGAATAAAAAAAAATAGACTAAAAATTCAATTTTCTGAGCCGAAAACACACCAAAAAAATTGAAAAACACATTATTTTTTTCATTTGTTTCTAGGCAAGAATTATTGCGAAACCATGCATGACGAAATTGTTGTGGGGCCCGAAAAAATCGATGCTCCTTTAAAGGAACATGAATTTTCAAAAGTACTTGGGTCTCGTCACGATTTCGCGAGAAGTTTGGCGGGAAAATTCAAATTTTTAAAATTTTGATTTTGGCGCCAAAATCTTCAGTGCTCAAAATGCTCCCAATGTTGAAAATTTCATTTTAGAACCCATTTGCTCTGCGATTTTCAATAAAAATAAGTTTTTCGTCTTCTTGAGCACATTTTGTGTTAAAAATGCTCACCGAAAACAAAAAATGCACTTTTCAAACCCCACGTCATTCATTTTCAGTTTTTTTTTTCAAAATAAAAAGCCCTCAAGTTTTTCACTTTTTGTCAAATTATCAAAAATCCCAATCATTTTTCGCGCACTTCTTCTTCTTCTTCAAAAAAAATCACTCACATGTAAATCAGGATTTGCAATAATCGCACACGTATCCAACACAAGATGTTTGACTGGTTTCGATTTTGTCGAAGCCATTTCGCTGAAAATTTTTCGAATTTGGTTGCCTGGCAACAATCACATTGTTTTTTTCAGCACAAAAAACGCGGAAAAATCGATAAATTATGAAAATTTCAGTTTTCTCGCCGAAACTTTCGCAATTCCGGTGTTCCGAGGGTAGTTTTTGATGCTTTTTGCTTGGAAATCGGTTAGAATTCACGAGAAATCAAGGAAACACGAGTTTTCAGCGAGAAAAACGAGAAAAAACAGATTTTTGGGGGAAGAGAAAAAGAAAATACTGGAACCAACGACATTCCGGTGACGAACGCATTTGCCTGTTGTTTAGCGACTCGCTCATTTTTTTCATTTTTTTTCGTTTTTCAGTTTTTCACGGGTTTTAGTGGTTTCTATTCACTTTCGTGTGCTGAAAATAAGAAAAATGGAATCTAGAGCAAAAATTGAACCTAGGAGCATAGAGAGAAAATTTTGTTATTGAGTTTTCCGTTTTTCAGGAAAAATGCGCATTTTCTGAGGGGTTTCGTCGGTTTCAGTGTGTTGAAAATGTGAAAATTGATTGTAGAACAAAAATTGAACTTATGAAATAATAGAGACAATTCTGTTCTGTTGTATTTCCCGGTTTTCAGCGAAAAATCTTTTTTCTTTGATGTTTGATTGTTAGAAAAAAGAAAAGGGTATATATTTTATCATTAATAATATCACCTGATTTCTGAAACACATTGTTTTTCTTCATTTCCAGAAATATCTCATTTTTCATAAATTTTCAATGCGAAAATCGATTTCTGTCATGTGAGCAGTCTAAAAATTAAAACCAAGTTTCCCTGACGAAAAAATCGCATTCTTTTGTTTTTTGAAGAATTCATTTGAAAGAAGGAAAAACCCCAAAGAAATTCGATATTTTCCTCGAATTTTCCGCCGCGTTTTCTATCAATTTGAATATAATTACATCTATACGGGGTGCTCTTCTCTTCCTCTCTGCGCAATTTTTTTTGTTTTCTATTTTTTCGCTGAAAACATGGAAAATAGTCAGAGAAGCGGGGGAGACACACGAAAGTCAATAAATTTATTATTAGACATAAGTTTTGCGCTTTTTTCACCTTTTTTTCTGGTTTAATTGCTCGTTTTTGGTTTTTCTTTGAAACATTTGTTTTATAGTTTAAAAAAAAGCTTGCTTGGTGACTTTACAGGGCTATAACTTGCTTCAGAATGAGTTTTATTGAAATCTAGTATTACAGTGTTGTTCAGTAGGGTTGATTACGTAAATATAGAAGATCAGGGGCCGAATTCACAAAAGTGGTATACCAAAAATTGCTGAACAAATTTTTTGGTACGCCCAAATTTTTCTTCACTAATTTTTGGTATACCACTTTTGTGAATTCGGCCTCTGAACTTCTATATTTACGTAATCAACCCTACTGAACAACACTGTAATACTAGATTTCAACAAAACTGATTATGAAGCAAGTTATAGCCCTGTAATGTAACCGATTGCTTTCTCGCAAAAGAAAATCTCATATTTTCAGAAAATGTCCAGCGGTAAACGACGTAATCCGCTTGGTTTGAGCCTACCGCCGACTGTCAATGAACAAAGTGAAAGTGGAGAGGCGACAACGGTAAGAGAAGGGATTTTCCAAACATTTTTCACAAATCGAATAAAATTTTGTATTGATTGATTGATTTCTAAAAAAAATGGAGTTGGTGGGTGAAAAAATTATTTGAAAAGTGACATTTCTGACGAAAAACTGAATTTTGAATTTTGGACATTCTAGCGTCAAAACTGACTGAATTTCCAAGAAAATAAATTATGTTCGAAAAAATGAAAAAAAATTGCATCTCGCAAATTATAGGTTCAAAGCCTATAATTTTAAGGTTTTTTCGGCTCCAAAAATTTTAATCTGAATTCAAAAAAAGGGGAAAATTTAATTATAGGTTTAGATGGGGAATATCTCAGAAAACAATATCATAACCCTCAAAATTCACAGGAAGAACCAGCTACGATTCCACTCGAAGAACAACTCAAAAAACTTGGTCTAACCGAACCACAAACTCAGCGGCTCAGCGAATTCCTGCAAGTCAAGGAGGGAATCAAAGAGTTGAGCGAAGATATGTTATTAACCGAGGGGGAACTAGGACATGGAAATGGTGGAGTTGTGAATAAGGTGAGTTGTGGTGCTTGAAAATCCACGTTTTTTTTTGACACCAAATAAGCCTTGTATGCCCAAATTTGATTAACTTTACTAGATTTACTGTAAGATAATTTAGGGCTGATTCACGAACGAAAAAAATGTTTTTTAAACATTGAAACATCAATTCACGAAAAGTCAAAAAATGTCGAAAAAACATTGTAGGTCAAAGTTAGTTTTTCGAATTTTTCAGCCAAAAATGATGACAAATCGATATTTTTTAAGCTTCTGGAGTAATTTCTGATTAAAATTGATCTTGGAATTCACTTTCCAGAAAGTTTTGCTGATTTTTCGTAAAATAAAAATTTTTTAATTTTGATGAATTTCGAAAAAATTCATAAAATAAAGCAAAATAGGGTTCTCGAAGCTTATTTTCATCAGAAATTACTCCAGAAGCTTGAAAAATCTAGATTTGTCATCATTTTTGGCTGAAAAACTCGAAAAACTAATTTTGACTTACAATGTTTTTTTGACATTTTTTGACTTTTCGTGAATTGATCTTTCAATGTTAAAAAAAACATTTTTTTCGTTTGTGAATCAGCCCTTAAGTTTTTCCTAGGCCTAGGCTTAAAAAATCCCATTTTTTCCAGTGTGTCCACAAAAAAACCGGAGTAATAATGGCACGAAAATTGGTACATCTCGAGATCAAACCGTCAGTCCGCCAACAAATCGTCAAAGAGCTCGCCGTTTTGCACAAATGCAACAGTCCATTCATCGTCGGTTTCTATGGCGCATTTGTGGACAATAATGATATTTCGATTTGTATGGAATATATGGATGGATTGTCGTTGGATATTGTGTTGAAAAAGGTGATTTTTGACCCAAAAATCAGGATTTTTCATCCTAAAAAGTTGACAAAATGCATAATTTATCAAAAACATCTACAAAACACATGCACTTAATAACCTGGCGCCAATCTTGCTGGTGGACAATGTTCGCAACTTCCCGGCGATCCAGCCTCTCCTGGTCCTCCCGGTGTTCCGGCTTGTCCAGGTGGTCCTGGTGGCCCGCGTTGTCCAGGCTCTCCTGCTTGTCCCGGCCCACCGTTCGATCCGTCTTGTCCTGGAGTTCCCGGCTTTCCTGGGATTCCTGGAGCTCCTGGTCTTCCGGTTGGTCCAGGTGGTCCTGGTGGAGCATCTGTTCCCGGCAACAACACTCCAGGCTCTCCTGGTGGCCCGCGTTGTCCTGGTTGACCTGGTTGTCCAGGTGGCCCGGGTGGCCCGGCTGGTCCTTGTGGGCCTGGCCCTCCATCTTCACCATTACGTCCCGGATTTCCTGGGATACCATCTTGTCCTGGTGGTCCTGGAGGCCCGGAAAGCCCTGGAGCCGCAACACATGGACATTGTGGTGGAACTGGCAGAATTCTATCGTGCAATTCAGCATCAGGCCCCGGTGGACCTGGTTCTCCTGGACCACGTCCCGGTTCGCCATCTCTTCCAGCTTGTCCTGGTTCACCATCTGGTCCTGGTGGTCCTTGTTGACATGTGCAGCATTGAGCGTCGGCTTGACGGGTTGCTCTGAGAAGAACGTCTAATGGATCGTCTGGTCCTTCTGGAGCAACTTCGACCATTTCACGCCACATGTCGCGAGAACGCGATTTACAGTACTCGACCTCACCCTGAAATTGCATTAAGGTTGAATTTGCGGATTTTTTAAGACCAAATTTGCCTAGATTTTTCCTGTGGCAGAAAATTGTGAAAATATACGAATTTTCGAGCTTCTGAGCGTGTTTTGAAGGTCTAGAGCCCAAAAATTGCATTTTCAGTCAATTTTTGAGTTCCGGAGACTATTTTGAAGCTCTAGAGCTCAAAAATCGATTTTCTGTCGATTTTTGAGCTTCTGGGCATATTTTCTAGCTGTAGATCTCAAAAATTGTGTTTTCAGTCAATTTTTGAGCTTCTGAGCGTATAGCAGAATTTTCAAGGCCTACATTGGAAGAATTTTTAATATGAACTTGACCTTAAATTTCGGTACCACATCAGAAAAATCCACGTGGATTTTTAAAGTTTCACTCTGATTTTGAATTTCACTTAAAATTCGTATCCGAATCTTATGGGGTGATTCAAGTCGAAAAAAAAACATTTTTTGACAAATTTTTTCCCGACTTTTGAATCACCCCATTAAAAATTCTGTGAAAAATTCGATTTTTTTTCACAAAAATTAGCCTAAATTAGCCGCAGGCTCATTTACTATTTATCTAAATAGATCAAATTTTGGCGCCAAAAATCTCTTACCTGAACGGAAGCCTGAAGTGTTTGCACATAATGGAAGACCAAAGGAAAGGCGATCAAAACTGCAGTCACGGCGACTGTCGAAAATGTGACAGCCACAAAAGCGACTCCCCGAAGCGAGTTTCTAGACGACGATTTTTCGGATTCCATTTCTTCACCACCTTTCAAAAATATGAATGAGTGAAAGAAAATGAAAATGAGAGTTTTTTCTGCGCGCGACAATTTATATAAGCGGACGGATTGGCGGAACGAAACGCCGTGTTGTTCGCGCACTGTACACTGTGTTTCCTTCTTCTTTTTTCTTGAAGAAGAAAAAGGGATAGAAAGTGTACTGTAGGTGAATAATTGAAGAGCGAATTTGTTTTTATCGAGAATGTGTTTGATCTACATACTGTATTCAGAAAAAATATAGTTTCGGGAAATTTGTCATCTCCTTGACTGAAAATTTGCAAAAGCTGAAAATCCCAAGATTCCCAGGAGTCTTGTGATTTCCAGACAATTTTTCAGTTTTGGATTTGGCTGTAATGCGGAAGCTATGCCCAAATTTTGAATGTTTTCTTGGATTCTCAGCTAAATTTTTAGTCCTTGAGCTAGGAAGTCAGGAAATCCAACTTGAGCTCAAAATTTCAGATGACAAATTGGATGGAGCCCATCAACTAAATTTTTTTTTAAATTCTATAAATTGTCATTTCCTTGACTGAAAATTTGCAAAAGCTGAAAATCCCAAGATTCCCAGGAGTCTTGTGATTTCCAGACAATTTTTCAGTTTTGGATTTGGCTGGGAGGCGGAAGCTATGCCCAAATTTTGAATTTCTCTCGAAAAACACTTGGAAATCTAGAAAACATTCCAAGTTTTCATGAATTGCCCCCAATTGTATCATATTTATTTCCAGGTCGGTCGACTTCCCGAAAAATTCGTCGGTCGAATCACAGTCGCCGTCGTCCGTGGTCTCACATATCTAAAAGACGAAATCAAAATTCTACATCGCGATGTGAAACCATCAAATATGCTTGTAAATAGTAATGGAGAAATCAAGTTGTGCGATTTTGGAGTGTCTGGAATGTTGATTGATTCGATGGCGAATTCGTTTGTTGGCACTAGGAGTTATATGGCGGTTAGTTGGAATTGGCGGGAAAAAATATTACGATGCTCCTTTAATCCTTGTCCGAAAATTATCTAGGGCTGATTCACGAACGAAAAAAATGTTTAAAAATGTTTTTTAACATTGAAAGATCAATTCACGAAAATTCAAAAAATGTCGAAAAAACATTGTAGGTCAAAATTAGTTTTTCGAGTTTTTCACCCAAAAATGATGACAAATCGATATTTTTCAAGCTCCTGGAGTAATTTCTGATGAAAATAAGCTTTGAGAACCCTATTTTGCTTTATTTTATGAATTTTTTCGAAATTCATAAAATTTAAAATTTTTTTATTTTACTAAAAATCAGCAAAACCTTCTGGAAAGTCAATTTTCATCAGAAATTACTCCAGAAGCTTCAAAAATATTGATTTGTCATCATTTTTGGCTGAAAAACTTGAAAAACTAATTTTTGACCTACAATGTTTTTTCGACAATTTCTGACTTTTTGTGAATTGATCTTTCGATTTAAAAAAACATTTTTTTCGTTCGTGAATCAGCCCTACCTCTTAAATCCCCATTTTTCTAGCCCGAACGATTAACCGGCTCCCACTACACAATCTCCTCTGATATCTGGTCATTCGGTCTCTCGTTGGTCGAATTATTGATTGGTCGATATCCGGTTCCAGCTCCATCAAATTCCGAATATGCCACAATGTTCAATGTGCCGGAAAATGAAATTGAATTGGCTGATGATTTGGAATCTGAACCATATCATGCACCAAATAATCCGGCGGCTATGGCTATTTTTGAAATGTTGGATTATATTGTTAACGGACCACCGCCTGCGTTGCCCAAACACTTTTTTAGGTTGGAAAATGAGGGATTTTGGTCTTTTTCATCTGAAAATTATGAAAAATCACGATATTTCAGCCCGAAAATGCGAAGAATCCATAATTTTCACCCAAAAAAGTCTGACAAACTCTAAATTTGACTGAAAATCCCCCTGGCTGAAAATTTGGCTGAAAATCCAATTTTCCATCTGAAACTTAAAATTTTGGATGAAAAATTGGATTTTCAGCCAGGGATGCGGAAGCTATGCCCAAATTTTCTGAAAATTTTAAAAAATCACGATATTTCGGCCCGAAAATGGGTAATAGCGATAATTTTCACTGTTTCTATAGACCCAGGAAAGTCTGAAGATCTAAATTTGTCTGAAAATCCAGTGTTTCTTGGATTTTCAGCCAAATTTATAGCCCTACTCCCACCCTAGCTGAAAATTTGGCTAAAAATGCAATTTTCCATCTGAAACTTAAAATTTTAGATGAAAAATTTAATTTTCAGCCAGGAATGCGGAAGCTATGCCCAAATTTTGCTGAAAATTTGAATTTACTTGAAATTGCACTTAAATTTTGAGCACTATACTGATATTTTGGCTAAAAATCCAATTTTCTATCTGAAACTAAAAATTTCAAATGGAATTAGATTTTCAGCCAGGGACGCGGAAGCTATGCCCGAATTTTGCTGAAAATTATGAAAAATCACGATATTTCAGCCCGAAAATGTGAAAAATCGATAATTTTCACTGTTTCAGACTCAGAAAAGTCTGAAGCTCTAAATTTGACTGAAAATCCAATTTTCTATCTGAAACTAAAAATTGCAAATGGAAAATTGGATTTTCAGCGGAAGCTATGGCCAAATTTTCAAATTTTTTCAGTTTTTTTTTGCCGATTTTTGCCCCCTCAAACCTGATTTTTCAGCCCAAATGCCATAAATTTCGTCTCAAAATGTCTGAAAAAGATGCCAAGCGAACGTGCGAATCTCAAAAGTCTATCATTGGATCCATTTTTCGCCGAATACGCCGACCAAGATGATCAAGGAGAATTTGCGGAATTTGTACGGAAAACGATCGATTTGCCGAAAATGGCAAGTTAGGCGAAGTTTTGTTGCGCGCGAAATTCGAATTTTTCCCCGGTTTTTTGTCTAGTCTCCCATCTCACAATTCACTATTGCATAAAATGTGTTTATTTTATTAACCAAAAATTATTTTCTGATTTTTTTCCGAATTTATTTCGATTTTTTGTCTTCTTCCACCTCTTCTACTTCTTTTTCTTCGTTTTTCTCATCTTTTTTTATCGAATCTGAAATTTTGTACAATTTTTCTCTTTATTTATTTGATTTTCCCCGTTTTTTCGATGCTTGTGGAATAAAATACTGATTTTTTGCCAATTTATTCGATATTTTTGAGAAAATCCCCGGTTTTTGCAACCGTTTCATATCTATTGTTATTGATTTTGCTGAAATTTGGCTGAAAATTCAGTATTTCCTGGATTTTCAGCCAAATTTCACTTGAAAAAGTGCTGAAATCTTGGCCAAAATTCAATTTTCCATCTGAAACTCTAAATTTCAGATGAAAAATTGAATTTTTTAGCCAAGCTTGTGGAAGCTATGCCCAAATTTAGAATTTTTGGCTGAAAATCTAGTTTTCCTGGATTTATCAGCCAAATTCTGACTTAAATTATCAAAAAACACGAAATTTTGGCCAAAATCCAATTTTCCATCTGAACTTTCGATTTTCAGGTGAAAAATTGGGTTTTTAGCCAAGCTTGCGGAAGCTATGCCCAAATTTTGAATTTTTGTCTGAAAATTCAGTATTTCCTGGATTTTCAGCCAAATTTCACTCGAAAAACTGCTGAAAATTTGGCCAAAATTCAATTTTCCATCTGAAACTCTAAATTTCAGATGAAAAATTGAATTTTTTAGCCAAGCTTGCGGAAGCTATGCCCAAATTTTCATTTTTTTTTTTGTCTGAAAATTTCAGGTTTAGGGCCCGGAAACCCACCATTTCTGAGATCTTTTTTGTCTGAAAGTAGTGCCGCAATACAAAAGTAGAAAACCAATGCAATCAATGGCACAAACATTGTCAAAGCTGCAAAAATTTGATTTTTTTTTAAATATCGGCTGAAAATTTCACTCACATTCAACACAAGCATATATCCTGTCCATTTTTGATGCGAAAAAATTTATGAAATGCAAAAATGAGCCGAGAATCCCCTTTTCAAAAGCCAATCCACTCTTCTTCTCCTTTTTTCTCTGCGTCTCTCAATTTCTCATGCTCTCTCACCTCTTCTTATTTATCGATTTTTTTTCAAGGAGTAGTAGTAAAACCGAGACAAAAATGGCGACGGGAAATCGAGTTCCGGAAAATTTTCAAACTTTATCGCCAATTGTGAAAGCGCCGATTTCGGATACACTTTCAGTGCCATTGTCACAACAAGGTGAGTGTTTTGGGCTGAAATTTGAAAATTTTTAAGCTGAAATTCATGAAAAGTGGTGAAAAATGAGCCAAAATACTTTGAGAATCGTGAAATTTGAAGAAAAATGAGTTATAAATCATAAATATCATAATTTTTGTGCTGAAAATTTGATTTTCGAGCCAAAATTTTTTTTTTTGAAATCAAGATAGTTGAATTTTCACAATAATTATAAAATTAGGATAATTTCAAACAAAAATTCAGGAAAAAATTCAATAAAATTTGATTAAAATGAGAAAAAAAGTGAAAAATGCTCCAAGATTTTTTAAAATCGTGAAATTTGATGAAAAAAAGTGAAAACCACCTGAATATTATCAGGAAATTTGATGAAAAATGACCAAATTTGACTGAATTTCATAAAATTTTGTGAGCATCTCTAAATTCTCATTATTCCCAATTTTTTCAAGGAAGAATTTGCGGCTTCTTCGAAACCCAATTCTATCGTTGCATGGAAGCGTATGGAGCAAAACTCGGCCGAAAATATTGTGATTTGGAACATCGCGATTATCAAGAATGTATTACTGGAGATAAACAGAAAAAGGTAGGGTTACTGTAGGGTTTTTGGCGCGAAAATTCAGAATTTTTGAGCCCAAATAAGCCTAGGTTACTGTAGATCAGTTTGGTGCAAAAATTTGGAAGTTCTGATACTAAATGAGCTTAGGGTTACTGTAGATTTTTTGAGGCGCAAAAAATGAGGTTTTTGATAGTAAATAAGCCTCAGATTACTGTAGATCAGTTTTGGCGCCAAAATTTGACAAATCTAGACGGTGAATAAGCCCAGAGTTCATTTTTCCTTTTGAATTTTTCTGAAAATGAGATTTTTGGAATGTCTTAATTGCCACGTCATGAAATTTCACGTGAAAAATTATTTTTTCCGTCGAAAAAATCCGCCATTTTTGCAGAGATCCGACGCGATTTCCGCGCAACGTCGCAAACTTTTCCTCGAAGGCAAATTGGACTCGCCATTCCTCGACAATCATCCAGAACCAGGACAATTCAAACCCGACCACTTCCAATGGAATCGCATTAACTAGAGACTAGACTATACTTTGTCCAAAACTAGACTCTAGTTTAACCGAAAATGTTGTTCTGTGCCTTTTTTTATTGATAACTAGATGTGTAAAAGATAAAGTGTTTTTTTAAAGGAGCAGCTTACAAAAAAATGGACTTTTTTTTGGGGTTTTTTGGTTAAAGGAAGAATGCCAGTTGTCCTTGCACCGAAAACACGCCTGCTGATCACTGACGCATTTAGTGTTTGCGCAAAATAGTAACATGAGCAATGGTTGTTTGTCAAGTGACTTCTGTTTTTCTTTCTTTTTTTTCTCTTGTTTTTTTCTTATTTACATCACGTTTGAATATTCAAAAATTAATATTTCGCAGATTTTCACTAACAAGGGAACCTTTTTCACTCAACACTTCAAACCTTGATGAAATTTTGTCCAGAGACAGCTTTTGGGGTCATAAGAACACCGTAAAAATTTTAGTCTCCCAATGGACCTCTGAGCCAAGTTCTGGGCTCTCAAAAACCCAAAAAAGGCCTAAAAATGGTCATAAAAGTCACCATAGTTCCATTTCAAAAATTTTTTTGGGAGAAATAAAGTTTCAGATAATGATTAGCATAGTCGATTACCTAAAAGTACATTAATAAAAAACATTTTTTCGAAAAATTTTGAAGTTTTTTATTTTTGAGCTGAAAATTCATGAAAATTCATATGTGCCCCTGCTCATTCTTTTTTTCAAAATCAATAATTTTTCTGAAAATTTGATTTATTGATGGTTTTTGGGTAAATCGACCACGCTGATCATCATCTGCTACTCAGTTTTTCATAAAATTGATCGAGAATTGAGTTATGACGTGTTTTATGAGCCAATTTTGGCAATTTTTGAACTTTTGAGAGCCCAGAACTTGGCTCAGAGGTCCATTGAGTAACTAAGATTTTTAGGGTGTTCTTATGGTCCCAAAAGCTGTCTCTGGACAAAATTTCATCATGATTTGAAGTGTTGAGTAAAAAAGGTTCCCTTGTAAAATGACGGGATGGGATGATTTGCCGAATGAAATGAAAAGTGAAGTTTTCCAATATTTGAAGGAATACGATAGGTAACATTGGGAAACTATCTGACAATTATACGAAAAAATAACTTTTTCAGACAAAAAATCGCAAGATGTTATCTCAAAGCTCCTCTTAATGGAGATGATATTGAAACATTGCATTTCGAACGCCAATATCACACCGTTTTCTTAAATTCATGTTTCTTCGATTATCAATGTTTCAACGTATATATCAACACAGATATTATTTCATTTCAACAAAACTCGGATGGTATGTGGGATATTAGTTACAATGGGGATTGTATTTGTGAACGCGTTAAATGTAGCAATAATATGATCTTCAAGTTTTTCCATGGATTCGTTGAACGATCGAAAGATACTCTTCGCAAGTTGAAGATTACTGATGTGAGTTGTTGCTGTTCTGCTACATATTTTTTGGGTAAATAATGAATGGGACCCGAAATGGGACCCCGAATGACTGAATGGGACCCCGGTGTTTAAAAATCGTCGTGATGAATGGGACCCCAAAATAATGAAATGGGACCACAGCATTTTTTTTGAATTGTCTGAATGGGATCCCGCAAAAAAAGGGACCCCGTTGAATTTTTGTATTACTACGAATGGGACCCCACTGAAATTTTATACTGCAAGGGATAAAAAGTTGAAGCCTGAGCCTAAGCCTGAGATCCTAACTAAGCCTAAGCCTGAAAACCCTAAATAAGCCTAACAAGGGAAGTACATAAGGTTAGATGTTGAACTTTTTTTGCAATTTAGTACACATATAGATTCGAACCCGCTGATCTCGAATTCGTTTTCAAAAATTGCCACAAGTGCACCCAAAAGTAGTTTGGCGCCATCGAAAAATTGTTAGGCTTATTTAGGGTTTTCAGGCTTAGGCTTAGTTATGTAGGATTTCAGACTTAGGCTCAGGCTTCAACTTTTTATCCCTTACAGTATAAAATTTCAGTGGGGTCCCATTCGTAGTAATACAAAAATTCAACGGGGTCCCTTTTTTTGCGGGATCCCATTCAGACAATTCAAAAAAAAATGCTGTGGTCCCATTTCATTATTTTGGGGTCCCATTCATCACGACGATTTTTAAACACCGGGGTCCCATTCAGTCATTCGGGGTCCCATTTCGGGTCCCACTCATTATTTTCCTATTTTTTGGATTCGCCACCAAATTGTGAGATGAACCACTGGAAGTTTGAACATCTTTTTAAAGTTTCAGCTATATGTAAATTAAAAAAAAATATTAGTTTCTCAGGTTTTTTATACCATTCGTGATGCTTCAATCTCGAATTTTCCAAAACTGGAAGAATTGGATATAACGACATGCAACAAATCAATGTTATATTGTTTAATGTCAAAATCAGCAAACATCAAAAAATTGGTGGTGAGGTTCACTAAACCCGATGAACCTACGAGAGCAAAAGAGGTTTGAGTTTCAATTAGTTATAGTTGGACATCGACTAAATTACATTTTCATGTTTTTTAAGCAAATTAATTGAAATATCGGGTTTTAATCTTATTCATATGATAGAATGGTCTAAGACGAACAGGATGATATAAATTTTGATGACTTTACGTTATCCATAAGTGATTTAGCGACCTTAAGTCGATAAGCCGAGTCGATCGACTAAACTTCGCTTAATCACTTATGGATAACGTAAAGTCATCAAAAATTATATCATTTTTGTTCGTCTTAGACCATTCTATCATATGAATAAAATTAAAACCCGATATTTCAATTCATTTACTTATAAAACATGAAAATGTCATTTAGTCGATGTCCAACTATACAATTAGTTAATTAATCCAAAGATAACTTAATTATTTTTAAAGACCAAATTTCAAATGGCCTTTCTCAAATCGGTTAAAGAATTGCATTTGTTTTCGGACGATCTAGACGTAACAAAGAATGTCCTTTCTCGAATAATATCAACAGACGTGTTTAACGAAATGAGTAACAGTCCTCTCTACACAAATCAAGAACAATTCGACATTATCATTGACTCTGATCGTTTGATCACCAATTGGGTTATGAAAGATCATCAATTTTCATTTTTCTCCAAACATTTTAGTCATATAGAATGTGATGGAAGGAACATTGATGCAAAAACGATTCTGAAATATATCACATCGAATAATTTTGAGAGAAAACACCTGGTTTTGAAGAATATTGAATATGATGTTATTCAAAAGCCCCTAGATTTAGGGCCGAGAGTTAGGAAAAAATACACAACGTACGTTTTTTTGGAATAAAAATACTAATTGTAAGATCACATTATTATTTTTACAGCTCTTATAGAATTTGGAGTGCGAGTTTATGCTGCGAAGGATATTACGAGGCTTTTGACAAAGTTTTGGATATAACGTGTGGTCCACGGAATGAGTTCATAATTGAAAATGATTATGAATCTCGGTCGCACACGCCAGAATATTCTTATAGTTCTGAAAATCTGAGCCATGATTTCAGCACTAATTGGTATTGGTAACCATTCAGACGATTACTATTTTGCAAACCGATACAAATAAATATCAGTTCATTTTGTAAAGTTCACCATGGTTGAATGTTTTTTAATAAAGTAATTAGAAATTTCCTGTTTTTGAAATTTCGTTTAAAACTTTTTTTTCAAATTTTCAGATTTTTGAGTCAATTTTTCCCGTTTTCAATAGTTTTGGCGTTAAATAAAAACCGCGCGATAAAAACGTGTGAATAGCATTAGTTATCACTAAAGTGAGAAATAGTTCAATTTTACTGTAATCTTAATTTATAAAATGGAAAATTATATTTTCAGCCCTTGAATTTCCATATCTAAAACCATCTGAAAATTTGCCTGAAAAAATTCTCACAAAAAAAGCAATAAATTATTATTATTTCATAAAACATCATAAATTATGCTGAAAATTCGAGATTTTCAGTAATTTCCTCTTGAATTTCATCACATTTTTCAACTTCTTCCACCCGTTTTTTCTTCTTCTCAAAAATGATCCAAAAATCGAAAGACATCATTGAAGTGGATAATGATAATAATATGAGCAATGCTAGAGAAATGCACATTGACACGATATATTGAGATATACTCATTCCAATTTCCAACCAACTTCCTTCATCTTTTAATTGATGGAAGAAACACTGAAAAACAGCGAATTTCAGGTGGAAATTTCAGAAAAATTGAAATTTTCAGCCCAAAAAACATACCATTGACATGAAATCAGTCAAAATCAATACAGTACAGCACAATCTTCGAATTTCCAGCTTCTCGAATCGACAAATCGCTGAAAATGTCAGCGAAACACACAAAATTGGCAGTAACAATTTGATGATTAGAAGGAAGGCCATTGTGAAGGGACTGAAACAAAATTAGGATTTTTGTTTGAACAAAATTCTGAGCGGGATTTTTGGGCTGGAAAATTGCAAATTTTTGAAATTTTGAAAAAAATTCAAGTTGAACTTCAAATTCTGTTCGCTAATTAACCTGTTTCAACCCAAACTACAAGGTATTCTGTAGCCTCAGGGATTTTCAAAACTGCAAGAAGTACTGTAGTATGAGGCTAATTCGGACTACAAGGTATACTGTAGCCTGTTGGCTAATTAACCTATTTCAACCCAAACTACAAAGTATACAGTATCCAACAGGTTACTTACTGTACCTATTTAAATCCAAACTGCAAAGCATACTGTAGCCTCAGGGATTTTCAAAACTGCAAGAATTACTGTGGCCTGAGGGTTACTGTAGCTCCCAGCCTACAACGACTACTGTAGTTGACAACTTCAGACTGCAAGGATTACTGTATCTGGAGGGTTACTGTAGCTTGAGGGTTACTGTAGAGATAGACTGTAACCAAAGGGATAGTGTATCTATTCAAACTCAAACTTCAAGGTATACTGTAGCCCACAGGTTACTGTACCTATCCACCTCAGACTGCAAAGAGTACTGTATCTTGAAAACTTCTCAAATTTCATCAAAAAATTTTCTCAGCTTTGTACTACTCTATCTATCGATAAATTCAGAATTTTCATCCAAATTTTGAGAATTTTGTTTTTAATTTATTCTGAATACGAAAACCCAAACATCAAGAAAGTTTTCGCATTTTATTTTTCAAATAGACTTCAAAATTTTGCGAAGTCTACTGTAGTCTTGGTTTTCTAGGCCATTGACAATAATAAAAATTGAGAACCCCGGAAGTCTTTCAAACTTCGCTTTTCGCAGGGAAAATATACAACTGACTAATTGAAAAATAATTTGATAATAAATTATATCAAAATTTTGAAACGTATTTTTTTTGTTTTTGAAAATTTAGAATTTTTTAATCAAAATTTCACTCAAAAGTAATGAGAATAAGAATTTTTGCCGAAGTGAAACAATTTTGGATTATCAAGTTTTTATAGCTGCAAATAAGGAAAGAAAACCCAAAAACTCACCTAAAAACCGAGATAAACAAGTTGAGAGTTGATGGATTGAATGAATTGATCGACGCAAAATTGCCAGTTCCAAAAAGAGTGCATAGAACAAAAGAGACGCAGACGATAGCACGGCGAATTTCGACGAAAAAATTTGAATTTGGCGGCGGAGAAAAATTGGCGCCAAAATTCGCAATTTGAAATAGTTCCACGTCGGATAAATGACCAAATTCGAAGCGCAAAAAAAGGGCCAAAAGTGGAAGGAAAAGTAGAACAAAGAGGGATTCGTAAGAGATTGAGAGCAGCGAATATGGAATCTGGAAAATGGAAAATACTTTTGAATCAAAATTTGGGCATAGCTTCCGCGTCCCTGGCTGAAAATCCAATTTTCCAGCTGTAATTTTGAATTTCAGATGGAAAATTGGATTTTCAGCAATTCTGATATATTTTTGGGATGAAAATGGTTCAACCAAAAATCAAAATTTGGGCATAGCTTCCGCAAGCCAGCCAAATTCAATCTGAAAATTGTCTGAAATCCCATTTTTCATCTGTAAAGCCTTTATACATATGATTTCAGATGAAAAATGGGATTTCTGACAAGTTTCAGATTAAATTCGGCTGAAAATCGCATGAAAATATCGATTTTCAGTCAAATTTCAGAGTCACTCTAACTTCTGGTGCTCAAAAAAACTCACATAAAACGCCAACGCATAAGCCACCAATCGATCCACCAAAAACCTTTGCGTCATCAAATTTGGTGCCAAAAAAGCCCAAGGAATCGATATCCACGATAAAATTCTCGCAATATGCGGCGGTTTTTCGAACAAAAAATGCACCAAAAATATGAAAATCGCCACCAAAAAGTTGGAAATCGCAAAAAATCGCAAATTTTCGCGATTTCTAGTGCGAAAAATCGCACATTTTGCAATTTTTTCACAAACAATCGATAAAAGTAGTGGAGAAATGATGCAAATTGGAAGATTTGCAGAAATTCCAACGGCCGGCAAAAATGGGAATGGAAGAAGTGAAATGCAAAGGAGACGCCACGTTTTTGACCTGAAATTGATTTCGGGATTTTTTTTCGGGTTAATTTGGTGGTTTTTGGTGTAAAAGTCATGAAAACTAACGAATTTTGAACTAAAAATCGAACTTTTCTGAATTTTTCCACCTGAAAAATTTTTTTTGGTAATTTTTGAGCTAAAAATCACCAAAAATGACTAATTTTGAGCTAAAAATCATAATTTTCGAAATTTTCAACCTAAAATTAATTTTATGTCCGAATTTCTTACCAATATCCAACAATCGGAGTACTGTAGGCATACGGTAGAAAAAGAAGCATTCCAAAAACCAGCGACAAAAATTTCCGATCGATAAATGTGAGCACAAAAATCAATATGATTACAGCTGCAAAAAATTGCCACGTGGATTTTTTGGCAACAAAAAAAAACTCACAAATTCCAACAAATCCCAAAAATGGTTTAACCAAAAAATCGATATTCAGCAATTTTTTCGACGAAAATGCAGATTTTGAAAATTTCGACAACTTTGTGGAAATCTGAAAAAAAATTAGACGTTTTAAAGGGACATAGAGCGGTACTGTAGGTGAAAAATGGGTCTCGAGGCGAAAATTTGAATACTTTTAAGGGTACATGAAAGGTTACTGTACCTCAAAAGTTGAAAAATTGTAAGATCTAGAACTGAAAATGGTCTTGTAGCGAAACTAAAATTACTGTACTTCAAAAAGCGACCGAGAATATGTGATCTACCAGAATTCTAGGGTCTCGGAGCGAAATTTCGGAGTACTGTACCTCAAAATGTCCGTAATTTAATGATCTTCAAAAATTTTCTGGGGTCTCGAGACGAAAAACCGGAATTTTGAACGGCACATGAGATACTGTAGGTAATTTTTCTGATCTACCAAATTTCTAAGGTTTCGGAGCGAAATTTCGGAGTACTGTACCTCAAAATGTCCGTAATTTAATGATTTACAATTATTTTCGGGTCTCGAGACGAAAAAATCACCATACCTTCGCAAAATTCTCCAAAACCGCCAACAAATAGACAGGAAGCATGACATAAACACTCTGACTAATCGATAATCCACAATAAACAGCAAATATCGCGGCAAGACCCAAAAACATGGCAAAAAACTTGTTGGGTAGTGCCAAGGTTCGCCAATTCTCTGGAGAATGCGATTTTGTCGTCGCAGCTGATTCTTGCGTCAACATCGCAAAAATCAACAAAATCCACGTGGCAAACGTCAACGAAATCGCATTTCCCAACAGATTTCGATCGTATCGATGATAGAATACAATAGCTTTTTTGAGCAAATGTGATTTGTCAGAAAACAGCGAACAAGCGGCTTCGAAACGTCGTGCTCTCGCCAATTTCAGCATTTCCGATTCAAGACTTGCCATGGATTTGTCATTGAATTCGGGAAATTGATGGAACCAGAAACGATGTGATTTGACGTCACGGAGAGCAATTATTTGCTCTTTGAGCTGAAAATAAAACTTATTTTTATCTCGAATTAGTCGAAAAAATCCTGAAATTTGATATAAAAAAGATTGAATGCTCAATAATTTATTGAAAAAAATCTAGAATTTGATTATTTTCCCATTTTCAAAGTCAATGGTGATTTTCCCATTCTCATCTTCGATGGCTCTTTTCCCATTCTCATTTTCGATGGTTCTTTTCCCATTCGCATCTTCGAAGCTTCAATAAACATGAAATTAGCCGCCAAAATAGCCAAGAAACAGAATACAATTGAAAAGTTCATTTTTCGAATGTTTGTGATGGAAAAAATTGAAGGAATCCTGACTAGGGGCTGTTAGCCCCCAGGCGTAACAGTCTTCTCATTTTTTTCAGTTTCACTTTTTTCTGTGATTATTTTCAATTTTCAGTGGAAAACAAATTCATGAAAAATTTCAAATTTTTTGATCAAAAAATGATTCGTGGCAAAATTAGGAAGGCTTCCAAATTTTGCCATGGATGACGACATCAAACTATTTTTCATAAAACATAATTGAATCTCTTTTTTTATTTGCATAATTATAGACATGACCGTCTCCAAACAGAAATTTCGGTTTGGAGACAATAATTTCATTTCTGGATGAAATTCTAAATTTTCTCGTTTTTTTAACAGTGTTAAAAATTTCCATTCAATTTTTTTCAGCTTCAAAGTTGGTTCTGGGTGGCTTACTAAGCCTAAGCCTGAGAGGAAGTGTCATTTAGGTCCAAACTCATCGATTTCATTTTTACATTTTTTGGATTATTCCAAATCTGTTACTTTTTTTGTTGACTTTATACACGAAAATCAAAATTTCAATTTTTGTCAGCTACCCGCTGAAATCGAAATTTTCATTTGGGCGGGTATTTTTGTCAAACAAAAAAAAAACTTGGGCCGATTTTTTTTCTGGAAAAACTCGGGCCGATTTTTTTTAGAAAAACTTGGGCCGATTTTTTTTCTGGAAAAACTCGGGCCGATTTTTTTTTGAAAAAACTCGGACCGATTTTTTTTGGAAAAACTCGGGCCGATTTTTTTTGGAAAAACTTGGGCCGATTTTTTTTCTGGAAAAACTCGGGCCGATTTTTTTTTGAAAAAACTCGGACCGATTTTTTTGGAAAAACTCGGGCCGATTTTTTTCAAACAACAAAAAAAACTCGGGCCGATTTTTTTGGAAAAACTTGGGCCGATTTTTTTTTAAAAAACTCGGGCCGATTTTTTTTTTGTTGTTTGAAAAACTTGTTTGAAAGAAAAACTCGAAGTTTTTCCAAAAAAAAATCTTTTTTTTGAGTTTTTTCAAAAAATTTTGATTTTCGTGTATAAAGTCAACAAAAAAAAAGTAACAGATTTGGAATAATCCAAAAATGTAAAAATGAAATCGATGAGTTTGGACCTAAATGACACTTCCTCTCAGGCTTAGGCTTAGTAAGCCACTCAGAACCAACTTTGAAGCTGAAAAAAATTGAATGGAAATTTTTAACACTGTTAAAAAAACAAGAAAATTCAGAATTTCATCCAGAAATGAAATTATTGAGAAAAAGTCATGTCTCCAAACCGAAATTTCTATTTGGAGACGGTCATGTCTATAATTATTCAAATAAAAAAAGAGATTCAATTATGTTTTATGAAAAATAGTTTGATGACGTCATCCATGGCAAAATTTGGAAGCCTTCCTAATTTTGCCACGAATCATTTTTTGATCAAAAAATTTGAATTTTCTTTATCTAAATTTGGTTGGTTCTGAGTGGCTTACTAACATGAGTAAGCCACTCAGAACGAACTTTGAAGCTAAAAAAAAATTGAAAGAAAATTACGACCAAATTTAGATAAAGATAATTTCAAATTTTTTGATCAAAAAATGATTCGTGGCAAAATTAGGAAGGCTTCCTAATTTTGCCATGGATAAAGGATAAATTTTTCAAAAAAAAAACTTATTCAATCTTTTTCTCGTATTGAAGACTTGAATAACATTCTTGGCCCGTTAGGAATTAGGAATTCTTGAACAATGCCAATAGTATCTGAAGAATCAGCCTTTTTCGCTCATGGGTCACGCATGATATTTTCTCGATTTTCTCTTTTTATTAAGCTTTCTCTTCTCCATCTTCTTTTTTCTTTTTTGCCGCGTTGGAATGTCGAATTTTCGCAATTTTGGGGAGAAACGAACAAAATTTCCGAAAATCTGCATTACTCGATATAGGGAAAAATTTTTTCCGAGTGGGGCTCGAACCCACAAAAGAAGGAGGGTTGCCTGATTGGAAGGCATCACTCTCCCCGCCTACACCACACGTGTAGGTAAGAAATGAAGCATTTTTGAGAAATATATATTTATCAGAATTTCACGTGACCGGGAGAAATGAACATTTCTAAATAAATTTCACCTTACGGGATTTTAATGAGAGGGCGATTTATATTTTTCACATATTTTGCATTTTTCTATTGTTCGGGATACGATGGGAAGAAAAACTTGGATATTCAGATTCTTGAATATTTAATTTTTCTGAGGGGGTGGTTTTTCTGAACGAAAATCAAACAATGAATTGGCCAAATATGATTCATTCAGGTAAAAGTTCTCAAATTGAATGTTCAATAAAAGTAATCTCGAGATTTTAAAATGAATGGTGATAATATTTGAGTATGGAAAGCGTTTCTTTGTTGAAAAATAACCCAGGACACATACATATTCTAATCAAATTTGAGTTTTTGTATCTACACGTGACGTGCAATCAGTGATTTTTGACAATTTCAATCATAAAACTGGAGATATATAGTTCATTCTAAATCAACATTCTAAAGTTTAAGTCAAATTATACCATTTTTCATTAAAAATCAGAATTGATAAGCTATACTTGACTAAACGCTCATAATATGAGTTATGAAAAGTTAAGTTAAGTTAAGTTAGAGAATTCAGGATTTTTGGAGCTTCAAAAATGATTTTCATACAAATCTGATAGGATAAGTTTTTTTTCAGGAGGGCTAATCACGTAGGCAGGCTGTTCGTTATGTGAGCGGTTAGTCAAGTATAGCTTATCAATTCTGATTTTTAATGAAAAATGGTATAATTTGACTTAAACTTTAGAATGAACTATATATCTCCAACCTTATGATTGAAATTCTCGAAAATCACTGATTGCACGTCACGTGTAAATACAAAAACTCAAATTTGATTAGAATATGTGTCCTGTGTTATTTTTCAACCAAGAAAAGCGTTCCATACTCAAATATTATCACCATTTATTTTTTAAAATCTCGAGATTACTTCTATTGAACATCCAATTTGAGAACTTTTACCTGAATGAATCATATTTGGCCAATTCATTGTTTTTATTTTTGTTCAGAAAAACCACCCCCTCAGAAAAATTAAATATTCAAGAATCTGAATATCCAAGTTTTTTTCCCATCGTATCCCGAACAATAGAAAAATGCAAAATATGTGAAAAATATATGGTATAAAATGTGGATTCCTTCAATTTTTTCCATCAAAAAATATTCGAAAAATGAACTTTTCAATTGTATTCTGTTTCTTGGCTATTTTGGCGGCTAATTTCATGTTCACTGAAGCTTCAAAGATGAGAATGGGAAAATCACCATTGACTTTGAAAATGGGAAAAGAGCCATCGAAAATGCGAATGGGAAAATTGCCATTGACTTTGAAAATGGGAAAATAATCAAATTGTCGTGTTTTTTTCTCAATAAATCATTGCGCATTCAATCTTTTTTATATCAAATTTCAGAATTGTTTTTTGGTCCCAAAGCCCAAATCCTACCTGCAAAAAGTTGGCCAAACTCGCTCTAAATTCATATTTCATCGAACTTTCGCGATTCTCCATCACATGAATCGGCAAAACACCCATCGAATTCACCGGAATCGGTTTTCCAATCAGAATCGAAATCAGCGCAGCCAGATCAATTTGATTTATCGTAACTCGAGCGCCGCCTTTTCGAATTCCGGCTCCCCAGGCTAAGAATGGTGTCAAGACTTCTTGATTCGTTCCGGCTCCGTGCGAGCCCCAATCCGTCATTCCGTGATCTGATGTGAAGATGAACGCCGTTTTTGAGTCGTTGAAATATTCCGAGATGAGTTGGGCGGTTTTGCCAATTCCATCATCGACAACTGGAAGAAAAATGGGATTTTTTGAGTCCAGATAAGCCTAGGTTTAGGCCTGGAGACAAATTTGGGCTCAAAAAACTTCGGGCCGGCCTAAAAGGCGGGCCCCACTTACCCCGTATATTTTCAATATACTGTGTCGAATGCGGTTTATTTCCATGCCCATTCGTATCAATTCCCAACAAATGCAAAAACATCACATTTCCAGGCTCCTCAAATTTCAGCTTCTCCTCCTTGTGCGCCTTTAAACCCGCTAGAAACTTTTCGAAATTCTTGAATACCCAATCATCCAATTTCCACGCGTCATTAGATCCAAAATCCTCCTCATCTTCATTATACGAAAATCCGCGAACATTTTGCAAATCATCAAAAAGGCCCACAATATCCGGGCTTCCCCAAAGATACGAATTTGTGGAGCGATTGAAGACACTGTCAAATTTCACCGGATTCTTCTTCCAACCTTTCGCAACAGCGCTGATATCTTCCGTGATTCCCGCAAAAATTGCCACGTGTCCAGGTCGAGATTCGGTTGGGACACTGCTTAGCGACAAGCCTGAGATACCCTGTCTTTCGCGGATAATTTGATGTAAATAGGGAGATTTGTCGGGATTTTCATTGAATGTATCATATCTCAATCCATCAGCTGAGAAAATCACGATTCTTTTCGCCGGTGGTTCGGCATTCGTCAAAAAATGCGGTTGAATTCCTTGGATCACAGGAGAAGTGTAATAAACATCAAAAATCGAGTAGAGAAGGATCAAATGAACTATAATACAGGCGAGCAGCAATTTCCAAGACATCACATTTGACCTGAGAAATTAAAATTCGAGGCTAATTAATTAAACGTGGAGCTTTTGGTGCACTTTGAGCATATTACACTGTGTGGCCGAGCTTTTTATTAAATAAACTTGGCCTAGGTGCCGACTAGTCCCTGCTAATTTATTCTTTCTTTTTTTACCGTTTTTCGGGTTTCTGGGGGGATTTTTGGGTTTTAGAGATTCTAAAGAGCTCAGAAAAATACAGTATATTTAAATGTATATAGGATTTGCTGTTAGAAGCGTGTCGAGACCCAAGAACTGGGTAAAACAGGATTTTTAAAGAAATATGAATTTTTGCTTATAAATTAGCTAAAACTTGAGTTTTTCAGTTGAAATTGGTATAATTTTAACTAGAAAACATTGGAAATATTGGGATTAATAGGAAAATCATTGAAAACACCTAATTTCCCTGTCAAATCGCTGCAAGACCTCAAATTCTTCAAAAAATACCAAAATCATACCAATTTTCGTCGATTCCTCCACGTGTGTCCAAAAATCACATGCACATTCCAATAATCCGCTCTCTCTCTGCAAAAAAATCATTAAAAATGCACCAAAATGCTCTGAAAAGGCCCGGCAATCCTTGAAAATTCCCATTTTCACCCGCCGACCCAAGAAAACATCATAAACGATGCGCAAAACTCAAATCATTCCGGATCACGGCGTTTCCGGCCTCAGCAAAGGGATTCCTAGAAATCCCCACCCAAAATCATCGCTGATTTTGAATGATCGCAAGTTTCTTACGACTGGTAGGCGGTACTTTGCTCAGCGGAAATGAGCGCAGACTTTCTCTAGTCTTCTTGAATTTTTGGGTGAATTTTGTGGAATTTTTTAGAGATTTTCGTGGGAAAACCTTGAAAACTTAGCTTTTCACCAGTTCCACTCGTTGAAAAATTCGAAAATAACTAGATTCCACGTCGAATTTGCTTTTGCCAACATGACACATCGAAATGTCACGTGAAAAATGAAAATTTCCGAAAAAAAATCGATTTTTTTTCTGATTTTTTATTTTATTTTTGACGCGCTCGCGGTATAGATCAAACTTGTTTTTTTTTGTTTGTTAAAAAACGAGATTTTTGCCATTTTTTATTGATTTTTGTGGATCGAAAGGTGCAGGATTTTCAACTGGAAAAAATCAATTTTCAGCCTTGAAATCTGGAATTTCAGAGGAAAAAATATGTGTTTCCTATGAAAAATGTTCATTTTCGATTGTTTTTGCTGAAATATGTGTGCAGTTTTTATTGTGAAATGTTTCTGATCCTCGAAAACCCCCGATTTCCAGCCAAAACCGCCCAAAACCGTATAGTTTTCCTCAAGGCGCACACATGTTTTCTTCTTTTCGCTGCGAGACCCCACACATTTCCCTCATGTTCCTTTAAACAGCTACTGTACTTTTTTAATTTTTTTTTTTTGTGAAAAAAAAAACAAGATTTTCAGCAAAATGCTAGGATATCCAATTGTTTTTCGATGTTGTGAGTGTACAGTAGAAGAGCGTGAGTGATTTTCAGTCTAAAATCTGGAAAAAATCAATAAATCATTTTCAGCGAACCTGGAAAACTTGGAAAGTCACATTTGGAGTCGTCACTTCAGGAAATTCCCCTACAATTGTTCGATTTGCGATTTTCCGGCGATAAATTCATCAAGTCTACAGGATCATTTCAGTCACCTTCATCCCGAAGTCGAATTTGTGGATTTCAAGCGAAATTTGGAGGACGAGAAGCGATTGCGGCAAATGGTTGCGGAAAGCATTGCGGTACTCGTCGAGACGCAAGACAACACGTGTACAAGTGCGGCGTCGAGTGGCGCGCAAACTGTCGGCGAGCCGCGCGTCTTCCGCACCGCAAGGAAAGCGTTGCCACAAGCGGTGTTTGTGGAGGAGGTGGCGACGAATTCGGATGAAGATGATTTCGGGCTGCTGGAAGATGATGAAAATGTGGATTTGGATGAGGATTGTGAAGAGGAAGAGGTTGTTGGAGGATATGTGGATAATATGGGAAATGCCATATTTATGGGTGGGAATTTTATGGAGGAAGAAGAGGAGGAGGAAGATGAAGATGAACAAATTGGCACCGGAAATAGTTTTGTGAGTACTTATTTTCAAGTAAAATCTTAAAAATCGCAATTTTTAATCAGAAATTCGTGAAAAAACGCTATTTCTGAAAAAAATAATAGAAATTTTGCAATAGAAATCTCGACAAAAATGAAGATTTTCAAGTTTTTGAATAAAAATCCTTCAAAATTGATGGAAAACAGCAAGTTTTTCTTGAAATTCTGTCAAAAATCCCAAATTTTTCAGCATCTCAAGCTTCTGCGACAGCGGCGCCTCGAAAAAACAATAAATGACGTGGCAAGCGAGGGAGCCATGTCGATTCCATCAACTTCGAGAACAATTATGCAGAGTAGTACGGTAAGTCCAGGCCTAAACTTGGGCCTAAATTTAGGCCCAAGCCTTATTCGGTCTCAAAAAATTCGCATTCTTCTCCAGGAACCTCAAGGCTCTCAAACATCTCCCAACAAGCAATCAGCGCCTGGAAAATCCTCAAAATCCGCGCGTCTTCAATGCGAAATGTGCGGAAAGAACTTCAAATTCGCCTCAAAACTCAACGAACATCGACGAAGTCATTTAGGAGAACGACCGTTCAAATGCGATTTTTGTCCCGCCGAATTTACGCAGAAAGGTGCGCTCAATGTGCATTCGCGGCTTCATACCGGCGAAAGACCGTATATGTGTCAGTGGGAGTGCGGAAGATCGTTTGTCTCGTCGTCCGCGCGGAAATTGCATGAAAAAACGCATAGGTATGGGAGAATTCGCTGTATTTTGGTATTAAATGTGCTCTATTGAGAATTTTCGGTACCAAAATTTGAATTTGAAGCAAAATTTAAAAATTACAAAAAAAAACTAGAATAAATTTGAAGAATTCTGATTAAAAAATCAAAAATTTATGCAAAAACCCGATTTTTTGATAGCAAACATGAAAATGCGCTCTGATGAGAATTTTGGCGCGAAATCTAGAAAATTTGAATTCACAAGTCCCGCCTTTTTCTGCAACCCTGGCACGATTTTTTTGCGCGTGCAAATAACTACTTTTGGACACCAATCAAGCAAATACGCTCTAAGTAGAATTTCGGCGCGAAATAGTGAAATTTTGAATTTTTAACGACAATTTTAAGCTCCGCCCCTTTTTGCAATCCTGGCACAGTTTTTTTCTGGTGGGAAATTCAAATTTTAAGAAAAATTTGAGCAAGCTCCGCCCTTTTTTGCAACCCTGGCACAGTTTTTTTTAAGAAAAACAACGTGCAAAAATGCCACGTCATAGCTCAAAAAATTATCGATGTTTTTTGGTATTAAATATGAAAATGTGCTCTATTGAGAATTTTTTGGTACCAAAATTTGAATTTGACGCGAAATTTTAAAATTACAACAAAAAACTCGAATAAATTTAAAGAATTCTGATTAAAAAATCAAAAATTTATGCAAAAATCCGATTTTTTGATACCAAACATGAAAATGCGCTCTGATGAGAATTTTGGCGCAAAATCTAGAAAATTTGAATTTTCCAAGATATTCACAAGTCCCGCCTTTTTCTGCAACCCTGGCACGGTTTTTGCGCGTGCAAATAACTACTTTTGCACACCAATCAAGCAAATACGCTCTAAGGAGAATTTCGGCGCGAAATACAGAATTTTTGAATTTTAACGAAAATTTTAAGCTCCGCCCCTTTTTGCAACCCTGACACGGTTTTTTGGGCGGGAAATTCAAATTTTGAGAAAAACTTGAGCAAGCTTCGCCCTTTTTTGCAACCCTGGCACAGTTTTTTTAAAAAAGAAAAACAACGTGCAAAAATGCCACGTCATAGTTCAAAAAAATATCGATGTTTTTTGCAGTGGAGAACGCTCATTCGCCTGTACAATTTGCATGAAAACATTCACCAAAAATTCGCACTGCTTACGTCATTTCAGGGTGAGTTTTGCGTCATTTTTGGCGCGAAAATTTGAAAATTTCAAAACATTTTTGATTGCAGAACATCCATGGCCGAGTTTTGGCGGTGGCGGCCGAGAATTCCTACGAGATTGCAAATTCGGCCGCCGGCGGAACTTTGGAGATCACTATGAATGTGATGAGCAATGAGGATGTTGTGCTGGGCGATGAGAAATATCGATGTTTGGTGAATGATGTGATTGGTGAGGGTTTTTTTGACGCGAAAATTTGAATTTTTAAATTTCGCGCCAAATTTTAATCCTATGATTCATTTCCTCAATTTTCGCCCTCTCATTAAAATCCCGTAAGGTGAAATTTATTTAGAAATGTTCATTTCTCCCGGTCATGTGAAATTCTGATAAATATATATTTATCAAAAATGCTTCATTTCTTACCTACACGTGTGGTGTAGGCGGGGAAAGCTCTGCCTTCCAATCAGGCAACCCTCCTTCTTTTGTGGGTTCGAGCCCCACTCGGGAAAAATTTTTCCCTATATCGAGTAATGCAGATTTTCGGAAATTTTGTTCCTTTCTCTCCAAAATTGCGAAAATTCGACATTCCAACGCGGCAAAAAAAGAAAAAAGAAGATGGAATAAGAAGGGCTCAAAAATAAAGAGAAAATCGAGAAAATATCCTGCGTGACCCATGAACGAAAAAGCCTGATTCTTCAGATGCTATTGGCATTGTTCAAGAATTCCTAATTCCTAACGGGTCAAGAATATTATTTAAGTCTTCAATACGAAAAAAAAAATATTAAATAAGTTTTTTTTTTTGAAAAATTTATTGATGACGTCATCCATGGCAAAATTAGGAAGCCTTCCTAATTTTGCCACGAATCATTTTTTGATCAAAAATTTCAAGATTTTTCATGAATTCAATTGTAATTCGTGTGATTTACCTCTTACGAGTAAATTTAATTCAAAAAAATAATTAAATAAGTTTTTTTCGAAAAATTTATTGATGACGTCATCCATGGCAAAATTAGGAAGCCTTCCTAATTTTGCCACGAATCATTTTTTGATCAAAAATTTCAAGATTTTTCATGAATTCAATTGTAATTCGTATGATTTACCTCTTACGAGTAAATTTAATTCAAAAAAATAATTAAATAAGTTTTTTTTCGAAAAATTTATTGATGACTTCATCCATGGCAAAATTAGGAAGCCTTCCTAATTTTGCCACGAATCATTTTTTGATCAAAAATTTTAAAATTTTTCATGAATTCAATTGTAATTCGTGTGCTTTATAATTTTTTGAATCAACCGAAAAAAATCGGCCCGAGTTTTTTCAAAAAAATCGGCCCGAGTTTTTCCAAAAAAAAATCGACCCGAGTTTTTTTTTAAGTGAAAACAAATCGGCCCGAGTTTTTTTTTAAAAAATCGGCCCGAGTTTTTCCAAAAAAAAATCGGCCCGAGTTTTTCCAAAAAAAAATCGACCCGAGTTTTTTTTTAAGTGAAAACAAATCGGCCCGAGTTTTTCCAAAAAAATCGGCCCGAGTTTTTCCAAAAAAATCGACCCGAGTTTTTTTTTAAGTGAAAACAAATCGGCCCGAGTTTTGTTTGACAAAAATACCCGCCCAAATGAAAATTTCGATTTGAGCGGGTAGCTGACAAAAATTGAAGTTTTTATTTTCGTGTATACAGTCAACAAAAAAGTAACAGATTTGGAATAATCCAAAAATGTAAACATGAAATCGATGAGTTGCGACCTAAATGACACTTCCTCTCAGGCTTAGGCTTAGTAAACAACTCAGAACCAACTTTGAAGCTAAAAAAAATTGAAAGAAAATTTTTAACACTGTTAAAAAAACGAGAAAATTTAGAATTTCATCCAGAAATGAAATTATTGTCTCCAAACCGAAATTTCTGTTTGGAGACGGTAATGTCTATAATTATGCAAATAAAAAAAGAGATTCAATTATGTTTTATGAAAAATAGTTTGATGACTTTATCCATGGCAAAATTAGGAAGCCTTCCTGATTTTGCCACGAATCATTTTTTGATCAAAAAACTTGAAATTTTTCATGAATTTGTTTTCCACAGAAAATTGAAAATAATCACAGAAAAAAGTGAAACTGAAAAAAATGAGAAGACTGTTACGCCTGGGGGCTAACAGCCCCTAGTCCCCGATTTTTTTTTTGAAAAAAAAAAATGAAATCCAGGTAGAAAAAGTTCAAGAACTAATTTTCGGAGCGAAAATTGTACATTTCAAAAATTCGAAATTTTTTTTCAGATTCTGTACGCGGCGAAAAATACATTCGAAATTGTGAAGAAGAAGTAGTAGAACTTGAAGAGGAATAATTTGGTAATTTTTGCGAATTTTCAAATTTTCTAGCCAGAATTTCAGATTTTTGTGATAATTTTTGATAAAGCCCAAGATTTTCAGCAAAATTTTAGGCAAATTTTTCCAAGCTCTTATGTTTTAATCTCAACTAAAAGTATTATATCCTACGCTTTTCACTTTTTTTGTTACTTATCGAAAATGAGATTAATAAATTATTCAAAAATCCCTCCCCCTTTTTTTATTCACCAACCAAAAAAATCTTATTTTATTTTAGGGCTTCCTTATAAAGTTTCAGATTTTTTGAAGAGGTGTGAGAAATTTTTTGCCATTTTCATATTATAGCTTTCTCCAGGAGAAATCTGCGAGTTTCAGTTACAAAAAATGTTGCGTTGGCATTCGGTGCGCAGGAAACAACATCAACAATTACAAGGTAGGTCAAAATTTGGCGCGAAAAATGAGGAATTTTGATACTGAACAAGCATATTCGCTCTAATGATGATTTTGCAGCGCGAAAAATGCGATTCTTTAACATTTTAAAATAGCAAATGCGCTCTATTGCTAATTTTATCGCGTTTCTAAGCTCCGCCCACTTTTCTGCAAGTCTGGCACGGTTTTTTTGCAAAATGAAAAAGCCAAAAATCATTTTATTTTCAAATGTTATCAAAAATGTTTCTTTTGTTCCCCGAAAATTAATTAAGTTTTCAAATCGTTTGATTTTTGCGCCAGAATCGAACATTTTATTTTTTTTTCCAAAAATTTTCAAAAAAAAACGTCCTCTAAAAACTGGAGGGTTCATTAATTTTTGCCATTTTTTGCTTTCAAATTTTTTTTTTTGGAGATGCGCTTTTTTAAAAGGATTTTTATTATGTTTTTAGTCGATTTTCAAATTTTTGGCCAATTTTTGCTCATTCCCTCCATAAAATCACTTTTTTTTAGTTAGAGAAAAAAAAATTGGGAAAAAAATTTAGAATTTTTCCCACCCGACCACAATTTTTTTTCTTACATTAGTTTTGGGAGAAAAAAATTGACAGAGATTTTTCTTGATTAATAATTTTTATTCCATTTGATTAAGGAAGTGTTTAGGTAGGATTTAGGGGGAATTTTTAGGCTTCAATATTAGGCCTAAAATTTTAGACGCGAGATTTTGATCTAGAAAAGTTCTAGGAAAAAATTAGGGATCAAAAAGTTCAGAAAATCTAGAATTAAGTTTAGGCCTAGCTTAGGCCCGATTTTAGGCTCTCATAGGCTCAGTCTCTGCTCGAAAATAAGCCCAAAATTTTAGGATTTTTCCAGATCAAAAAGTCCAACCTGAAAAAAGCGTGATCTTAGGCCTGACTCAAGTATACTCTCAATCAAATTCAGGCCCCTTCTAGGCCTCTTCTCAGGCTCACCTAACACCCATCCTCAATTTCCCACCGCAAAACCGCAGCCTGAGATAAATTACCCTCACATTTTTCATTCATCTCATCATCTTTTCGATTTCCGGGCAGCTTCTCCATTTTTCTTCGGCTGTGCCACTGAAAAAAAAGAGATGGCAGACGATGAGTTTCCGATCTTTGATTCGATACATTCAGGTAAGCCCAGGCCTGGGCTTAGGCCTAAGTTTAGGGCCAGAGAGCCTGAAGAGGCCTAAGTTTAGGGCCAGAATTTGAGAGCCTGAAACTAAGATCAGCCTGAATTTGTTCCTAGAGAATTTCAACATATTTTTGTAACCTAAAAAACTTTTGCATTTGAATAATCCACGTGGCAAACCTGAAAATCTTGAATTCAAAAAATGAATTTTAAAAATCTGCCATTTCTGTTTTGAATTTGGAGCATTTTGAGCTAAAATTGTTAGGGTGAGCTTGAAATTTTGAATATTTTGAATTTTTCAAAATTTACATTGGAGCGCACTTGAATCCGCTTCTGTTTCTGAACATTTTCAGGTATTTTTCAAATTGAGGTGATTTTCATAGCAAATGCGCTCTATTGATAAATTTCAAAACGTCGGAAATTTTCAAATTTTCATTTTTTTTTCTGTTCGAAATTCCACGTGGATTGTGCCTTTTGGGATATTCAGAAGCCTTAGACTTATCCTAACCATTAACCTAAAGCTTAAGGCTTAACCTTAGGATAACCTTAACCCCAACCTAAATCTGAAGACTAGAAAAACACAACTTGACAAAAAAAACGTGATAAATTATGTATTCCCAAAAAAAAAAAATATCCGATTTCTTTTGCGCGCCAATTTTTTTTTTGGCTCCAGAAAAATTGGGGGAGCACCGAAAAAATAATGATATACAAATAAATACATTTTTTTGTTGTAGCCGAGCTTTCATCTGGCGGCGCAGGAATGTTGTCGGCTCCAGAATCGAGACGAGTTAGCCGAAGTATGAGTGTTAAAGGTGAGGAGTTTGAGCGGCGGGGGAGAAATTTGAATTCGGGTTTTTTTGGCGGGGATTTTTTGGGATTCTTGAAATTCAAAGGGTTTTTTTGTGAAGCTGAATTTAATTTTTGAAAATTTTTAAAAAACAAAATTCAGAATTCTGGAAAATTTTGATTTTTTTTCAAAAATTCAAGTTTGCCACGTGGATTTCTAGAGCTTTAAAAATTTTTAGCACAAAAATCTGAAATTATTGGATTTTCTACTAGAAAAATTTTGAGCTAAACAAAATTTGCCCACGTGGATTTTTCGAGCGTTTGAAATTAGAGTTTCAGAAAAATATTTAGATATTTTTGCTCAGCAAAAATTGTGCCACGTGGATTTTTCTGAAGCCAAAGCCTCCACAAACTCAAATTTTCATTTCCAGCTCCCACAGCCGCCGAATACATGCCATTGCCACTTCGCGACAAACCCTTGCAGCTCTCGAATTCGCTGAGCCTCGATCCAAATGAGCCCATCTCGGCGCTGACTCCAACAAAAGAGAGTCGAGTGGCGGCGTTGCGGAGAAGATCGTCGATGGTTCGAGACAAATGGGCCACCAAAATGGAATTTCTTTTGGCTGTTATTGGATATGCGGTGGATTTGGGGAATATTTGGAGGTGAGCAACTTTTTCAGCACAAAATTTTGGTATAGAAACGTCAATTTTTGAAAATTTTTAGATTTTTTACGGTTTGCATTAGAGCGCACTTGATTCCCTTTGTTTTTCTGATCATTTTCCTATATTTTCAAAGCTCTAAAAGTCATTGCGAAGCTTGTTATAGAAAATGCGCTCCAATGCAAATGTTTAAAATTTAATAAATTTTCAAATTTTCTTTTTTTTGCTAGATCTCTGAGTTTCTCTTTTTCTGGAAATTTTTTGATTGTTTTTCCGTGTTTTTTCCATGGGAAAACAGAAAATTAATTGATTTCTGATTTTTGGCAGAAAATTCAGTGATTCATCAAAATTTCCAGACTTCAAAAAGTTGTTTGATTCGGAAATATCTAGATCACATTTTTTCGCTGAACCGAATACAAAAAAAGGGCGTTCTCACGCCCTCGATGAATAATATGAGCAATCGTGAAAAATAGGAACTTCAAAAAAAAAAAGAAAATTTGAAAATTAGATGTTTTCAGAAAATTCTCAATAGAGCGCACTTGATATAACTAGCTTAAAATTAGCTTTTAAAGCTCGATTTATATAGGAAAATGTTCAGAAAAACACCAGGATGCAAGTGCGCTCCAATGCAAATTTTGAAAAGTTACATAAATTTCAAAATTCTCAATAGAGCGCATTTGCAAACATAAGGTTAAAATTGTGCAGTAATGCTTAACGTCAAACTCAAATCAATATGCAAAATTAAAGCTTTATTCTCAACAAGCTCTGAAAATGGGTGAAACAATTAATTGCCAAAAGGCCCAAAACACCTGTTCTGAAAACAATGTTCAAAAAATCCACAATCAGAACCGTCACGGCATTTCTTCAACTCCGAAGCCGATGCGAAGATTGTGAAGATTGTGAAGAGGAGAACGATCAAGAACTTCATAGCGAAATTGTTTGTTGATATGAGAAATGAGATTGGAGCTGGGCTTTTATGTGCAAATTTTGATTCGATTTGAGAAATCGATGATTCGATAAGCGAACTTTATTTCGATTCAACAAGTTTTCAGAAAATCAAACGATCAAAAATTTTTGGGGTGAAGGTTGAAAAAATGATTTGGGATCCGCCAAAAACAAGAATCAATCAAGAATCGCAGTTCTTCTCACAAAACTCACAAAACAGACCAAAAAAACCCATTTCGAAAATAAAACACAAAACGCGCCTTCACACAAACACGTCAATTCTGTGAGGCTGGGCGCGTTTTGTGTGCAGTGCTTTTGAATTCTTCAAATATTTTTGATCATTTGATTTTCTGAAAACTTGTTGAATCGAAATACAGCTCGCTTATCGAATCATCGATTTCTCAAATCGAATCAAAATTTCCACATAAAAGCCCAGCTCCAAGTTCATTTCTCATATCAACAAACAACTTTGCTATGAAGTTCTTGATCGTTCTCCTCTTCACAATCTTCACAATCTTCGCATCGGCTTCGGAGTTGAAGAAATGCCGTGACGGTTCTGATTGTGGATTTTTTGAACATTGTTTTCAGAACAGGTGTTTTGGGCCTTTTGGCAATTAATTGTTTCACCCATTTTCAGAGCTTGTTGAGAATAAAGCTTTAATTTTGCATATTCTTATGAGTTGGACCTTAGACGACAAAATTTTATTTGCTCAATCTTTTGAGCAACTAAAATTTTGTCGGCTTACCCCCCCCTTTAAAAAGTATACGAAAATGCTCAAAAAACACCAAGATTCAAATGCGCTCTATTGCAAAAATTGAAGCAATCATACATAATTTTTCAAAAATATATCGTGTTTGGGCTCAAAATGCTCCAAATTTTCCAGATTTCCGTCAGTCTGCTATAAACACGGTGGCGGTGCCTTCCTCATCCCATACTTCATAATGTTAATGCTTGGCGGTTTGCCAATGTTCTATATGGAACTGGTTTTGGGACAATTCCATCGTTCCGGTTGTATTAGTATTTGGCGCAAGATTTGTCCACTTTTTCGCGGAATCGGCTATGGTATTTGCTTCATTTGCACTTTTATTGCCATTTTTTATAATGCTATTATTGCACAGGCTGTTTATTTTGCGTTTAGCTCGATTTCGGTGAGTTTTGCTCGAAATTTTAAATTTCTAAAAAGTTTTCTAGGCTATCATTAGAGCGCACTTGCTTTATTGAGCTTTAAAAACGCTTGTAGAGCTCGAAAAATACACCAAAATGCTCAGAGTGCTCTCTTGAAATTTGTTTGGATTCTCAAAATTCTCGATGGAGCTCCCTTGAATCCCCTTCGGTGTTCAAACTTTAAAAGTGAATTTGTAGCTAGTTTTAGCAAGTGCGCTCTAATGATAATCAAGAAAATTTTTAAAATATTCAAATTTGGTGTCAAAAAATCCCCAATTTTGCAGCTTCAAGTCCCATGGGCAACTTGCAACAACACGTGGAACACCCCAAAATGTTCGGACGATCTAAATGTGACTCATTCAAAATCCGGCGAGCGTTTAACAACACCATCCGAAGAATATTATCTCTACAACGTGCTGGAATCTCAAAAATCGACGGGTTTTGATGATTTGGGCGGGGTGAAACCGAGTATGGCAATTTGTTTGGCTCTTGTGTTCACCATGGTCTACTTTGCCCTCTGGAAAGGACCACAAAGTTCGGGGAAAATGGTGTGGGTCACTGCCACCGCACCCTATTTCATTTTGACGATTTTATTGATTCGCGGACTGACTTTGCCTGGAGCTAGTAAAGGCCTGATGTTCTATGTGACACCGGATTTTGATAAATTGTGGGATCCGGCTGTTTGGTCGGCCGCAGCCACTCAAATCTTCTTTTCACTTGGACCCGGGTTTGGCGTGCTGTTGGCGTTGAGCAGTTATAATGATTTTAATAATAATTGTTATCGGTAGGTGGATTTTGGCCACGTGTCAAATCTGACTTTCTTCTGCAATCCTGGCACACTTTTCTGATCATTTTGATATCAAATAAACCCAGAAAAAAACGGTGCCAGACTTGCAGAAAGTGGGCGTGGCTTTATTCGGTATCAAAAAATGCGCAATTCATTTTTGCAGCGACGCAGTGGTCACCTCAATAATCAACTGCGGAACGTCGTTCTTCTCCGGCGCCGTCGTCTTCTCCACCCTCGGCTACATGTCCGAACTCACAAATCGGCCAGTCGGCGAAGTTGTCGGCGAAAATGACGCGAGTCTGATTTTCATGGTCTACCCGCAGGCGTTGGCCACAATGGCCTACAGCAACTTTTTCTCATTCATATTTTTCGTCATGTTAATTACACTTGGTATTGATTCGACTTTCGCTGGAATCGAAGCGCTTATCACGGGATTTTGTGATGAGAGTCGACTTTTGACAAAACATCGCAAGTGGTTTGTGTTGGTCGTTTGTGTGGTTTATTATTTTTTGAGCTTCCCGGCGATTAGTTATGTGAGTTTTTTTTGGGTTATAGGGGGGATTTTGAGCATTTGGAAACCACACAAGCATAATTTTAGGGTTCCTAAGGTCCTTAGGAGCATTTAGAGACCACACAAGCCTAATTTTAGGGTTCCTTAGATCCTTAGGATCATTTTGAAACCTCGCAAGCCTTGGTTAGGGTTCCTTAGATCCTTAGGAGCATTTTGAAACCTCGCAAGCCTATCTTATGATAACCTTCATGTTTCTAAGGTCCTTCGGCACCTATAACCTTAGTGTTAGGGTTCCCTAACGCCTAATTAACACTCTAAGGTCTTTTATAACTCAAATGCTCTCTATTGGACACCTGACAAATTTGAAAGTTTTCAAAAACTCAAGTGCGCTCCACTGCACACAGTCCAAATTTCAACATTTTCCCCAAAAACCTCTCCAATTTAAAGGGACATCAATACGTGGTTCCATTCTTGGATGACTACGGAGTGTCGTTGTCAGTGCTATTTATGGTAACTTGCGAAATGATCGCCGTGTGCTGGTTTTATGGAATTGAGCAATTTTCAAAGGATATTAGGTGAGTAAAAAAACCGTGCCAGACTTGCAAGAAAAGGCGTGGCTTTCTCTTCTCAATCGCTCATTTTCCAGAGCAATGCTCGGCTTCTACCCGGGAATCTATTGGCGCACATGCTGGACATTCTCCCCGATCTTCATCTCCATCATCTTCGGTATGACCATCTACAACAGCAACTTCACTCCAATACAACTCGGCCCCTACACTTTCCCCTGGTGGAGTGTTGTGTTGGGATGGATGTTGCGGTTGCTGTCGGTGCTCTCAGTGCCCGTTTTCGCGCTGATCTATATTGCGAGTGGCACGGGAAGCTTGCGGGAAAGGTTTAAGTGGGCGATTACACCGCAGCAGCGCCGAACATCTGCGACGAGTTTGGCGGCGGATCCGACGCAGATTATTGATAGCAGTTTGCTAGATCCCGTCAATCACTTGACCCCTGTTTAAGTTTTCTAATTGGTCTTGTCTGTATTTAGTTAATCACCATGTACTTTTGATAATCTTGCCAAATTACCCTTTTGAATTACCACAACAATTCTAGCGCTGTTTAAAGTTCGCCCCATTGATAATCCCGAGTTTCTTTTGAATATTTGAATTTTCATGAGCTAGGTGAGCTAATTAACTACCCTAATTGCTCTTAATTAGTTCCCTGATTAGGTAATATTCCTTTTTTCCCAAACTGTAAGCTAATAATATCAAAAATATTCAATTGCGCCCCATTGATAATCCCTATTTCCTATCCATTATTCAACTACTTAATTACCCTACCCATCTCGTTGTTTCAATTGCGCTCTAATACAAATATACCCTAATTATCCCATTTCCCTTATCAACTGCGCTCTATTGATAATCCCTATGTTCTCTTTATGTTTTGATCTCCCCATATAATTTGCCACGTGTTGTAATTAATTAATTATTTGTTTTATCTCATTCACCAAAATATATACACACAATAAAGAATACTATAATCACAGAAATACCCGTTTCAGACGATTTTGTTGGCTGAAAATCGCAATTTTCAGAGGTCTATCTATAGATAGAGCGGCTGACTGGCTAGAGTTCTGACAATCCATCTGACGCATCGCTCGATGTTTGTGCCTTCTAACGCGGAAACCGGCAGAACCGCCAAGTCGGATTGATGATTCTCGTCTTCGAGAAGCATGCGGACTTCCGCTGCCGGAGACGCGCCTTCCATTTCGGATTTATTGACGGCGACGAGGACAGGCAGATTTTGAACAGCGTCGTTTGATATCACTTCTTCTGAAGGAAGGAAATTCTCGAATTAGAGAATTCGAAATGAAAATTTGGGCATAGCTTCCGCGTCTCTGCCAAAAATCCAATTTTCCAGCTGAAATTCTGAGTTTCAGATGGAAAATTGGATTTTCAGCAATGTTTATGAGGATTTTGTGTGATTTCAGGCTGAAAATAGTGAATTTCAGTTATTTTTCAACCAAAAATCGAAATTTGGGCATAGCTTCCGCGTCCCTGCCAAAAATCCAATTTTCCAGCTGAAATGGTGAGTTTCAGATGGAAAATTGGATTTTCAGCAATGTTTATAAGGATTTTGTGTGATTTCAGGCTGAAAATAGAGAATTTCAGTTATTTTTCAACCAAAAATCAAAATTTGGGCATAGCTTCCGCGTCTCTGCCAAAAATCTAATTTTCCAGCTGAAATGTTTAGTTTCAGATGGAAAATTGGATTTTCAGCAATGTTTATAAGGATTTTGTGTGATTTCGGGCTGAAAATAGTGAATTTCAGTTATTTTTCAACCAAAAATCAACATTTGGGCATAGCTTCCGCAAGCCAGCCAAATTCAATCTCTAAATTATCTGGAATCTTATTCTCCACCTTTCGGATGAAAAATAGGATTTCAGACAAGTTTCAGATTGAATTCGGCTGAATTTTTAGATTATTCTACGATTTTTTTGCTGAAAATCTAAATCTTCCATCTGAAAAACCAAGTCAAGCCTGGTTTTTCCCATGGAAACCTCGATTTTCAGCATAAAATCGATTTTTAAGCTTGAAAAAGTATTTAAAAACTCACTAAAAAGTGCTGAAACTGTGGGAAACAGATCGGATCTCGTTGCATCTACCACAAAAATAATCGCATTCGCGTCATCAAAATAAGTGGGCCATAATTCGCGGAGGCTTTCCTGGCCTCCCAAATCCCAGAAATTCAGGCAGGTATTGTTCAGCTCGACTTTTCCAGCTGGAATTATTGATTTTTGACAAAAAATCGATTTTTTGGCTCTAAAAAGCTTAGTTTTCAGCGGCAAAAAATCCAAAAAACCTCTGAAAACTCACTATTCAATCCTACAGTAGCTGTAATTTTAGATGGATTCAACATTCCGTAATCTTTCACAAAATGCGATTTCGCCTGCTCCAAAAACGTGGTTTTTCCAGCATTATCCAACCCCACGATGACCACAAAATAGTCTTTTTTCTTGAAAAACTTCTCCCAAATGCCGGCAGACAGTGTATACATATTTTAAGCGAAATACGACCAAAAAAAAACACGAAAAAAAGTGAAATGCAAAAATTGTTGGAAAAAACGAGAATTGTGCCAGGTGGCTAAAGGCTGACGCGTTTTGCGCGTATTTTGTGATGACGCGTTATTTCATTTTTGAATTTGGTTCAGTGTGTTGGAGCTTTTGTGGCGTTGTTAGGCTAACTATTGATTTTTTTAAAGTTTTGATAAGAAGTTTAGGGTACAGTAGTTGTTGTTTAAAGGCGCATAAGTTATTTTAGTTTCATTAGGCAGCGCTCTAAATTTCGGTTAGACGCGAAATTGCAGTGTTTTTATTTTTTGCCAAAACGGAAATTTTGTCTAAACCTTTCGAAAAAAAATTTCAAAAAAAAAACTATGTGCATCGTAGATTATTAAAGGCACATACGTTTCTCGCGGCGGGTCTCGCAGCATCTACCGTAGTTTTTGAAAGGCGCACGCAGTTTTTATAAATTTCAAAAAAACAATATTGTTTTTTCCTCCGATTTCCCTCGATATTTCCCGTTTCCCACCATTTTCATCCACCAAAATTGCAGAAATGTTCTTCCACTTGGCGCTGGACCACGAAGTCTGTCTTCATCCCAAATATTTCGGCCCAAATCTCAACGAAACCATCAAAATGAAGTTGTTCAACGAGGTCGAAGGAACGTGCACCGGAAAATATGGATTTGTTATCGCCGTGACTACGATTGATACAATTGGACACGGTGTTATTCAACCGGGCCGTGGATTTGTCATCTATCCGGTCCGTTATAAGGCCATCGTTTTCCGGCCGTTTAAGGGACAAGTTGTTGATGGTGTTGTTACACAGGTAAGGTTTTAATCTTCAATTTTGTGAAAATTCACCTAAATTCATGTTTTCTGACTAAAAATTGGTCAAAATTCATAATTTTTATCTTAAAATCCACAATTTTCCCTCAAAAAACCCGTCCAAATTTTGCAGGTCAACAAAGTCGGCATCTTCTGTGACATCGGTCCATTATCCTGTTTCATTTCTCGCCATTGTATTCCACCCGACATGGAATTCAATCCAAATGCCGAAAAACCGTGCTATAAAACCAGCGATGATTCGGTTGTGATTCGAAATGACGATGAAGTTCGTGTCAAACTTATCGGAACTCGTGTTGACGCAAATGACATTTTTGCTATTGGAACTTTGATGGACGATTATTTGGGATTGTGTCCGGCTGAGTAGATTGCACGGATTTTGTGGAGACGGTGAAATTTGTGTAAAAAATGCGAATTTTCACGATTTTCCTCCCCAAAAATTCCATTTTTTGTTATTTTTCTGTACTATTCCACTTTTCCCCCTTTTGATTTTCAGACCATTTTTTGGGCTGAAAATTCTGATTTTTCTTTATATTTATCCCGTTGTTAATTTTTAAACAAAGATCTCAAATATTTTACGATTTTCATTGATTTTTGCTTTTTTTAATGGTTTGAGACCATTTTCATACCTCTGATTTTTTTTTGCTTTTTCAGATTTCCAGGGAATTTGAAGATTTGACTAAAAAGAAGCCGAATTCAAGCTTAAAGGGGGGGTAAGACGACAAAATTTTATTTGCTCAATGAATCGGGCTCCCTTTGAATAGTAAAAGCCCCAGGGGATTTTTTCTCGAAAGGCCTAAAAAGGTCCGAAAAAAATATTCCATGAACTTTTTTCAACGTTGTCCGAAAGTTGTCCGAAAGTTTATGGAATAATTTCAACGTATACCTATACGTGGTACCTAGTTTATGGAACATTTTTTCTGAGCGTTTCCAGAAAAAATCCCTTGGAGGTTTTACTACTTTTGGGGAGCCTTTAACTTTGCGACAAAAAAATTTTGTCGTCTTACCCCCCCTTTAAAAATCGATTTTATGCTGAAAAACGAGATTTCCATGGGAAAAACCAGGCTTGACTTGGTTTTTCAGATGGAGATTTAGATTTTCAGCAAAAAAAAAAACGCAGAATATTCTAAAATTCAGCCGAATTCAATCTGAAACTTGTCTGAAATCTTATTTTTCTTCTGAAAGATGAAGAATAGCATTCCAAACAATTTTTCAGATTGAATTTGGCTGGCTTGCGGAAGCTCTGCCCAAATTTTGATTTTTGGTTGAAAAGTAACTGAAATTCACTATTTTCAGCTCAAAAAATCTATTAGAATTGCTGAAAATCCAATTTTCCATCTGAAACTCAGAATTTTAGCTGGAAAATTGGATTTTTGGCAGAGACGCGGAAGCTATGCCCAAATTTTGATTTTTGGTTGAAAAAAACTGAAATTCACTATTTTCAGCCTGAAATTACACAAAAAATATATAGCCATTGCTGAAAATCCAATTTTCCATCTGAAACTCAGAATTTCAGATGGAAAATTGGTTTTTTGGCAGAGATGCGGAAGCTATGCTCAAATTTTGATTTTTGGTTGAAAAATAACTGAAATTCACTATTTTCAGCCTAAAATTACACAAAAACCTTATGAACATTGCTGAAAATCCAATTTTCCATCTGAAACTCAGAATTTCAGATGGAAAATTTGTTTTTTGGCAGAGATGCGGAAGCTATGCCCAAATTTTGATTTTTGGTTGAAAAATAACTGAAATTCACTATTTTCAGCCTGAAATTAGAGAAAATAATATATAGCCATTGCTGAAAATCCAATTTTCCATCTGAAATTTGAAATTCCAGCTGGAAAAGTGGTTTTTTGGCAGGGACGCGGAAGCTATGCCCAACTTTTGATTGCAGATCAAAAATAACTGAAATTCCTTATTTTCAGCCCAAAAAATCTATCAGAATTGCTGAAAATCCAATTTTCCATCTGAAATTTGAAATTTCAGCTGGAAAATTGGTTTTTTGGCAAAGACGCGGAAGCTATGCCCAAATTTTGAATTTTCAAAATTCTAGGCTACTTTTAAGTAGAAATTCTAAGTTCCTAGGCTAATTTTTACTTAAAATCGTCTAAAATTACTATTCCAGATCCATTTTTGCTGTAAAAATCCCCCGAAATTTCTTCCAGATGACATCTCTCCTTCCAAACTATGCAATGTTCGACGAAATCCGTCGAATGGACATTCGTCAACTTTTCTACCAAGCTCTCAACTTCGGAATGGTCGTCAGTTCGGCTTTGATGATTTGGAAAGGAATGATGGTTTTGACCGGGGCTGATAGTCCAGTTGTTGTTGTTTTATCCGGAAGTATGGAACCCGCATTTTTCCGAGGCGATTTATTATTGTTGACAAATGATAGACAAGATCCAATCAGAGCTGGTGATATTACTGTATTCAAGATTGAAGGCAGAGAAATTCCGATTGTACATAGGGTTATTAAGGTAACATTTTGATTGGGGGAGGGTTTGGAGGGTAAAAATTGAGAAACGGCTCAAAATGATGGGTTTTTGACGTGAAAATTTCAATGAAAATGGTGGAAAATTGGAATTTTCATGAAATTCTGATAAAAAGGCTTCAAAACTATAATTTGATATCAAAATTTACCCGATTTTTTCCCGAATCTCCTCAATTTTGGCCCAAAGCACTTTTATGTGAGATTTTTATGCTCTGATTCTAATTTGGATCAAAATCGGCTTCAAATCTGTCTGAAGTTAGGTTTTCAAGCTAAAAAAAATGGATTTTTTACCCTGAAAAATCGATTGTTCTTTCAGGTTCACGAAAAAACCACCGACGACACCAAGATTTTGACAAAAGGAGACAACAATCAAGTGAGTTTTGATTTTTTTTTGTTCAAAAATTGATCCAGAAACCGTAGAAAACTCCCGAAATTGATGAAATTTAGGCTAACTACCCTAAAATCCTTTCAGAAAGTGCTCAGAAGCTCAAAAAAGGCCGCTGAAACTCTGAAAATCATAGGAATTGTTCAAATTTGACCTAGAAAACACTAAAAATCACCATAACTATGTACCTTAAAACAAAAAAAAACAAAACATTTAATTTCAGGTCGATGATCGCGGTCTCTACGCTCCCGGTCAATTATGGCTTGCCCGTACCGATATTGTCGGCCGAACCAAAGGAATTCTACCATACGTCGGAATGGTCACAATTTTGATGAACGACTATCCAAAATTCAAATACGCCGTTTTGTTGCTGTTGGGAGCATTTGTTCTTTTGCACAAGGAGAATTAGGCGCGCAATTTTGACCCGTAACTAAGTTATTTCTAATTAATTAATTTGTCCCCGGGGGATCTTCTTATAAACCAAAAATTTCTATTTCGTGGGTTTTTTGTGATAAAACTTTTTTAAAAATACACATGGAATTTTTTCAAGCCATTTGCAGTCTTCACATCCAATAAGTTTAAACTTTTCAAAATTCACATGAAAAAAATCTGGCGAACAAAATAAATAAAATATATAAAACATACAAAATATACACACTTTTTTACACACCTTCGGTCGATTCTTCAAATTTTAGAGCGGAATTCGAGGTGGAAGGCTGATTTTGAGTGGCATAGGATCGAGCCCAATCACAGTCGTTTAGCTGCAAAAATTCACCATTTTCAGCCTAAAAACATTGCTGAAAATCGAATTTTTCATTGAATTTTCAGCTGAGACGGGGGAGTTTGAATTTTCCAATTTCTAGGCTGATTTAGGTCAAAAATTCAAGTCCCTGGGCGAATTTAAACCCAAATTTCCATCTGAAACTCGAGATTTCCAGATTTGTAGCCAAACTTTCACTCACTCCTTGCATAGCTATCGCTTCTTTATTCGATATCACATCATTACAACAAATTTGCATATATTCAGCCGCAGCCACATCTCCATATAAAAATCGCATTTGATCGATGAAATCTTCGACAGTTCTGGAAAAAATCGAATGTTTTTGGATGAAAATTCCAGATTTCCAGCCCAACATTAGTCTGAAATCAAAATTTGGGCATAGCTCTGCCAAAAAAACAATTTTCCAGCTGAAATTTCAAATTTCAGATGGAAAATTGGATTTTCAGCAATTCTGATAGATTTTTTGGGCTGAAAATAATGAATTTCAGTTATTTTTCAACTAAAAATCAAAATTTGGGCATAGCTTCCGCAAGCCAGCCAAATTCAATCTGAAAATTGTCTGAAATCCCATTTTTCATCTGAAAATCCGAAAGATACAGATTTTCAGAGGAAAAAATAAGATTCCAGTCAAGTTTCAGATTGAATTCGGCTGAAATTCGACCTGGTGCGATATAAGCTGAAAATCCTGCTGAAAATTCAAGTCAAGCCTGAATTTTCCCATGGAAATCTCGAATTTCAGTCAAAATTTTCAGATTTTCACAAACTTTGGCTCAAAAATCGGCGATTTTCAGCCAAAATTCCAGATTTCCTCCTCACCTCATAACTTCTTGAGTTGGAGGCGGTGCATATTCAATTTCCGAATCGTATTCAATTTCAGCACACGTTGTCATATTTACATATTCATCTAGGCCAATTTGAATTGGTGAATTGCGCGAATTCGCCATTTCTATCACTGGTCGCAGGAATTTTAGTTGTCTGGAAAAAATTCCAGATTTTTTCTATCGATTTTTCATCAAAAATCCACGTGGCAATGAAAAATATTGATTTTTAACGGGAAAAACGCTAGTTTTTTCGAATTTGAGCTCAAAATTCACGATTTTCACTAAATTTCCAGTCAAAATGCACTTAAAAATGCACTAACTCCTCATATTGAAAAGGTTTTCCCATTTTCATCACATCCAAATTATATTGATCGCGTTTCCTGCGATAAATCGATTTAATCATTTGTACATGTTGCATAGCTCCCCAACCGCCAAGTTTCAGCGATAAATTGCACCAAGATTGACGCATTTGGCGGTGATTTCCGAAATTCGCCGCATTTTCGCGGTCCCAAATCACCGGCTCATTTTGGAGCATTGCGAAAAAATCGCACACAAATTCGTAGACTTCCGGTAAATCTTGATCTGACGAACTGAGTTTTTGGTGTTTTTTGGCGAGGATTGGTGGATTGTTGGCGGCGTCCGGATAACCACCGTTTTTCTCGTAATCCTGAAATGAAAATTTGGGCATAGCTTCCGCGTTTCTGCCAAAAAATCTGTCAATTTTCCAGCCTAGCAGGTCTATAGAATTGAATTTTCAGAGAAATTTCCAGCAAAAATCAACTTTTTCAAAGAAAAATTCACAAAAATTACCTGCAGAATCTTCAAAATCACCGACAAATTCTCATCGGCCCATTGCTTTTGCCACGTGTACAATTGCACCAGCTCGTCCAAACTACGTACATTGTGCGCTCGAACCAACCAATCCACCGGCAGCTCTTTTTGCAGAATTCGGATTTTCTCGTTGACTTCGTGAAATTCGGCGGGTAGCATTTTTTGTTTTGTATTTAGAAATGAAAAAAAACGGGCAGAAAAGAAACAAAATAGAAAAAAAAACATTTTTTGAATTTAAAAATGCGCGCCGCTCGCGTCAAGATATTTTTTGAATTGCGATGTGTGCCTTGAAAGAAGTACTGTAGTTTGCAACGGTGTTTGCACACATTGTGGCAAATGCATTTTTTTTTGTTTTTTTCGAGATTTTTCAAGGAAAATAATTTATGGGCACTGTGTTTTTTTCTAATAGAAAAATGCAATTTCGAGGAGACGCAGACACTCGCTGGTCTCGACACGCTGTGTGTCTGCCACACACTATTTCTCTCCCTTTTTCGACGAGAGATTTGTCTGCACACGTTAAAGTCTGCGTCTCCCTCGAATTGCAAAAAAAAATACAGTGTGGGGTGATTCAAGTCGAAAAAAAAACTAAAAAAAAACATTTTTTTACAAAAAAAATTCGATTCAGCAAATGTCAAAAAACTATATTTTTTTCCACACAAAAATGAGAGATATCTCGCAGCGAAAATGTTTCAATGAAAAAAAATGTCAAAAAATGTCGAGAAATAGAAAAAAAATATAGTTTTTTGACATTTGCTGAATCGAATTTTTTTGTAAAAAAATGTTTTTTTTTAGTTTTTTTTTCGACCTGAATCACCCCATTATTTTCAGAAAAATACACCACTGCCTTCACCACTCATCTCGCCACTAAACCCACTTCCATCCACAAAACCACTATTTTCTCCGCTTCCTGAGAACATAGCTGCACAATCGATCTGCGGCTCTTTTGGGAGGGGGGGGGGTTACGGTATGCGTCTTTAAAGGGACATTTGGTTGAAAAAATATGTGTTTTGGCATTTCAAATTCAGAATTTTCAACGAAAAATTTTGCGTCAAAATTAGTATACAGTAAATCGATCAAAATATTCCCAAAACTCACCCAAACTTGCTCCGAACACCCTCCAACTTTCCACCAACAAATCCCGAAATCCTTTTCAAATACGTCGAAACAGTCATCGCACAAATCATAATAAACAAACTAAAAATCACAAATTTCCCGAGTAGCGGAACATCTTCAGTTTTCGGCAATTTATCCGCAATAATTCCCAAGATAAAAGTCATAGTCATAATATGAGTTAGCCCAACTGTAAGTCGCTCCATTTTATTCGTATTCTTCAGAAAAACCCCAGCAATTGAGATGGAATTTATAATAAATGTGGGCAAAACAATCATATATAAATAATACACGGGATTTCGTTTGAGATGTAATTTCAGCACGGCAACTTGTACATTGACTCCCATAAAATCGTAGCCTCTAATCGATTCAGTTCCAGCTGTGATATTCACAATTTCCCACGCCGAATTTCCCACATTTTCACAAAAATCCAACAATTCTGGTCTCAAAGAAGTGAAAAGTTTATAAATATGCGAATCCATGGTTGGAATTCCAGCGCGGATTTCGCAAATTTGATGATCGAATGGGAAATTTGTCATGTTTAGTTTGCAATTTGTTGTGATTTTCAAAGGGATATGCGCCTTTAAAGATCCCGAGTAGAAGACTTTGACCATTCGGAAGTTTTGATCGCGGAATTCGACTACTTCACTTCTTAAAAACACGAGGTTTGGGTCTTGTAGCAATTCTGGGTACTCTGTTCCTTTAAGGTGTTTTGATCTAGTAAAATACTGTATGTCCCTTTAAATACAGTAACCTAGTCTTATTTGGGATACTGTACGATCTTTTTAAAAAATGTTTAAAGGAACTTTTTGATCTACAAAAATATAATATATCTGGGTTACTGCGTGCGCCTTTAAAGGGAGATACAGTAACCTAAGAATGTTTGAACTCTCAAAATTATTGCCTTCATCTACAGAATATTGGAACTTGGTTCAGGCTACTGTATGTTCCTTTGAAGGGTCATAGAATTTTCTACAGTTTGTCTATGTCTAATCCATTGAATCAAGGGTACTGTATGTACCTTTAAAGGGAGCTAGGCATGTTTATATTCAAAATGATCGGCTTGATCTATAGAATCTAGAAAACTAGGTCAGAAGTACTGTATGTACTTTTAAAGGCGCTTACTCTAAATTTTCAGAACCCAAAAACTACCGTAAGCCAAACTCACGCTGTATAAACGACAAAAGGCGGTGACCAAACTTTTTCCAATCTCCAATACATAGTCTCAATATTCTGATGTTCCTTCAAATCCCATTCCAATCTTGGATCATACCATTCTTGTGTAATCTCAGCCACAATCATCATTTGCTCTTTTGGCTCATCAACATCAATCAATTTCAGTCGGATAAATTCGATATTATATTCCCATGGTTGCAAGAGATGTGTATGCGAATCTTGGGGAAGTGGCGATACTTCTTTGTCATATTTGAAGGCACCGTTTTCGAAGAGAAGTTGGGTTAAGTTGTATTGAACTGGTCCAAGGGCTTCTGTGTGAAAAATTGTGCATTTTTTGTTCAAACTACAGTGTAGTTACCAACTCACTCAACAAATCTACGCCATCAAATTCGCACCGACGTTCTTCATACAATAAAGCTTGTCTGGAAATTTGGGGCAAAAAAATCAGAAGAGAAATCCAGAAAATCGTCATTTTCGGATTGGATAAGAATAATCATGTAATCTTTTATTTGCCAAAATTTTTTTGGAAAAGTTTACAAAAAACGTGATTAATTAGGCGCTAACTGATAAAAGTGTAAAGATTTTGTTGGGCTGAAAATTCGATTTTGACTAGTCAGGAATTCCTAATTAATCAGGAATGGTTTCTAATTTTACCCTGGATGACGTCATCAATCAATTTTTCAAAAAAAAAACTTATTTAATCTCTTGGGTGAATCGTAGAACAGGCCCCCACCACTATCATTTTAAGCCCCCACTCGTCAGACATATTATAGGCCCCCACCTTTTTATGTTCAGAAATCTTGTTGGTGGGGACCTAAAATTGAGTTGACACGTGGGGGCTCAAAATGATAGTGGTGGGGACCTTTTTTCCGAAATACCCTATGATCGAAATAAAAACCCCCAACTCTATTAAAATCATGTGAAAATAGGCCCCCACATACAAATATAAGTCCCACCTCAATATAGGTCCCCATCCAAAAATAAGTCCCCACATAATCATTTTAGGTTCCCACTTCCATTGAGTGGGGACTCGGTGGGGACTTTTTCTTGTTGGTGGGGGATTACTTTGTGGTGGGGGCCTATTCTGCGATTCACCCAATCTCTTTCCTGGATTTTTTCTCTGAAAATTACAGTAATCCAAATTCCAAAGCTCTAATTGACTACAGACTGCAAATATTATCGAAAATCTCCCACGCGCTCCATCGAAATGAACACGCAACGCAGACCGCGTCGCGCCACAACACACACAAATAAGGGAACGATTCAAATTCCCTCCCTTTTTTGTGTGTGTTGTGGCGCGACGCGGTCTGCGTTGCGTGTTCATTTCGGTGGAGCGCGTGGTACCGCTGAGATTTTCGATACTATTTGGGACTACAGTAACCCAAACTACAAAAAAAATCATTTATTACAGTAACCCGTGCAAAACAGAAATCCATACATATAATTTAAAATTCATAATCCTTGAGATTCAACAAACTGAGATCGTTTTCCGCTTGCCGCCGTCGAATTTCGCGCAAAACGCAAAAATACGCGGCAGGCTGGCTACGTAAGTAGAATTTGTGTGCGACCAATTCGCGACGCGTAATAATCCGCGCCACATCCTCAACACCAAACACACACGATCCGGAAGACAGATAATTGCGGCATTCCGCTTTCCGCATCTCCCACAATTGATATCTTGAAATGTAGGGGGTTTGTTGCGGCGCGGAAAGCGTCGTCGCATTTCCGTCGATGCTTGCTGGAATCGCGAATCGCTTGCGATTCGCAAACATCGTTGCCCAGAAACTCTCGTCGGCGATTCCGGTGTTTTTGAGGAAGGCTAGGAGGTCACGCGGAATGTTGCTCTGCGACATTGCGTTTGCGGAAGCACGCGGAACGAGAGCGGAAAGGGAGGATTTGAAGAGTGGTAGGGGTGAATCAGAGAGCTGCAGAAATTTTGAAAATTCAGAAGTGAGCCACGGATTTGCCACGTGAATTCGAAATGCTCAAAAACTATCGTATTCACGACCATTTACTCCAATCGGGTCAGACAAGAGACGACGAGAGTCTGATGACGTCATCTAAGACAGAGAAAGACATCGCTTCGAGATATTTTTGAGAAAATATGTGTCCCTTTGAAAAAATACCGTATTTTGTTTCAAGGAACACAACATGTTTTATTGAAAATATCTCGAAGCGAAATTCATTTTCGGGATATTTTTGCAAAATACTCTCGTCGTCTCGCGTCTGACTCAACGGGCGCCTTGCATGGTCTTGTATTATTTTAGCGTTATAAAATCCACGTGACAAAATTTCAGATACCCCGTCTTCTCAAAACTCACCGCCTTCCCTCTGAGCCTGCCTTCTGGATAAGGTTTCAGCTCAAAATTTGCACTTCCATTCAACTGCCTCAAAATTCGAACCATTTCCAAATTCGATTTCAAAGGCGCATCCACACCGGACAAATATTGAAAATATTTCCAATCGTTTTTGAGGCGAGCGAGGAATTCGAGACAACTGTACGCACTGTTGATGATCTCGTGACTTCCCCAATGAATTGGTGGGCGCGACTGAAAACATTGGCGATTTTTTGGGAGAAAAATGAGGATTTTTGGAGCAATGCTTTCTGATTTCACCAAGGATGACGTCATCGATTAATTTTTCAAAAAAAAAAAACTTATTGAATCTATTTTTTTGTATTAAATATACTCAGAAGACACGACCATACAAGGCGCCCGTTGAGTCAGACGCGAGACGACGAGAGTATTTTGCAAAAATATCCCGAAAATGAATTTCGCTTCGAGATATTTTCAATAAAACATGTGTTCCTTGAAACAAAATACGGTATTTTTTCAAAGGGACACATATTTTCTCAAAAATATCTCGAAGCGATGTCTTTCTCTGTCTTAGATGACGTCATCAGACTCCCGTCGTCTCTCGTCTGACCCTTTTCTATTGGAGTAAATGGTCGTGCCAAATTTTCAACAAAAAAAAGTTGTTAGTTCCCACGTGAAGATGTAAGTTTTACAACGACACTCCGCTTGCCTGCTGTTTAGCGTAAAACGAGAATATTTTCAATTTGCGTTTTTTTTTCGCTGGGTTTTTGAGGTTTCCGGGGAGAATTAGTGGATTTCAGTCAAAAATTGAATATTTAGATGTTCTGGAATTATCGCTCCCAACGGAAAATCGAAGGATTATCGAAGAAATGTGGGTTTTTTTCTAGAGAAACACTGTTTTGATTGAAATTTTTGAGAAAAAACGAAATTTTTTTGGAAAAATAGCTGTAAAATTGTTGTGAGCCCTCAGAAATATATAGAAATAGAAATGGAGTTAGCAGAACTCAATGGTACATGAAAAATCCAAATTTTCTGATTTTCAGCTTGAAATATTGATGGATTTCAATGTCAACAACGTGGAAGATTTCGAATTTCGCAAGGATTTTTTTTTTGAGAAATAGAAGCGAATGGTGAGTTTTTTGGGGAGGGATTTCGGAAAAATTGAAAAAAATAGATAAAAAATTCTGTAAAATTTGAAAAATATATGAAAATTATGAAAAAAAAAATCTTTAAAAATTGAGAAAAGTTAGGCTAACTCATCAGAATCTGGGCCCGAATTTTTCATGAAAAACTAAAAAGTGAACGACCGGGCTTTTCCCAACCAAAAACATGTATTGTCCGTTTGGAAATGAGATTCACCCCGCGAAAAAATAAATTTGAGTTTGAGAAAATCTCTAATTTCCCCCTACCCCCGCGATGCGTGTGCGTTGCGGTCGCTTTCCCATACAAAACCCCCGTTGGCTGTTTGCCAGCGCACTCTCTCGCTGTTTGCGTCTCCTGCAGCACATTCAAATTTATTTTTTCGCCACGTGGCTTTCTCATTTCACCCACCAAAAAGTGTACATTCGGCCAACACGTCGTCAAATCGTCGAGCAAAAATTTGAAAAGTGTTCCCGAATTTTCGCCCACAGCTATACAGTAGACATTTTGAGGTTGATAGAAGGCCGAAAGCATGAAAAGAACCTGCAAAAATTGATTTTGATGAAATTTTCAATGTTTTTTCCCACCTGAATAATCTCCTTATAGGCTAAAATCCCGTAGGCTAGCGGAAAATCCGCTTCTTCCGCGGACCCCGTTTTTTCCGCGAAATCGAAAAGTTCGTGGATTTTTGCGCATCTGAAAGTTTATTTATTTGGCTGAAATTCGGCTGAAAATTTTGCTGACCTGTTTGTCGAATACAAAATTTGATCCTCAATTTTTCGCGAGTCGAAAGTTAGATTAAGTTCGTGCTCGTCGATTTTTTCTCCAACTTGTAGGATTTTCTGGAAGATTCAAAATTTTTGGGACCAAAAATTAAAGCCACGTGGATTTCTTTAACTTTTTAGAAAAAAATAATTTCATTGCTCATATTAAGCGCTCAAGTTTGATCAAAATCAAAATTTCAGATTCAAAAATTCAAGTTCTAGAAAATCCACGTGGTTTTTTTTGGCTCCAAATTTTTTTTCAAAAATCTCACTCACCTCACAACTAATCCCCAAATTATCGATAATCTTCAGCGACTTCTCTTTTTTGTCGAAATTTTCAGATTTTTCCCAAAAAAATCTGAAAATCGCCCAAAACCCGGTCAACAATATCAGGTAGATCAAAAAATTCAGAAAAACTCGCATCTGAAAATTTTTTTTTTTTTTGAAAAAAAAATGAAATTTCTCTATTTTTTGTAACAGCTGTTACAAAAAACTCACGATTTTCGATCAGAAAATTTTTTTTCACAAAAAAAAAATATTTTTTCATGGGAAGATCATAAAAAAGTTGATGAATTTTTGAAGGCACAATAAATTTTGTGGGCCACAGAAAAAAAACTATTTTTATATAAAAAATTGTTTATTTTTTGAGGTCAAATGGGGGCAGAAAAAAAGGAAGATAGACAAAAAATTGTTTATTTTTTAGATTTTTTGACAGCAAAAAAAATGTTTATTGATTTTTAGTGCGATGAACTTTTTAAAGAAACATTTGAATGAGGATTTTTGGTGCCACGTGGATTTTCAAGTTCAAAATTTTGTAATTCTGAATTTTTGGTTCAAAACTTCTGAAGTTTCTTTTTTCGCCACGTGGATTTTTTATGAAAAAAATTTTCAACTAGAAAAAATCACAAAAAAGTACACAAAAATCTCTCTTCTCTTTTCCCCGAGAAAAAAACCAGAATTTCGCTCCCAAAAATGGTCTTTTTCATATTTGTATTTCATTATCGGGAAAAAAAAACATTTATTTATTTTTCCGCAAAAAAAATTCGAAACATTTTTGTTTTGTCTGTCGAAAAACATATGGTAGTTGTAAAAAATCGAAAAAAAATGAAAGAAGAACAAAAGCCATAAAATTGGCGAGAGAACTACACAAACAATAAACAATTTTTCCACGTGGAAAAAATTTTTTTTTGTAAATTGAAATTCAAAAATGCATTTAGTAAGCAATGGTCTCGCCACGATGTGTACTTCTCTTGAAGGAGCCAAACATTTTTTCCAAAAGAACTACACAAACAACTTTTGCCACGTGGCATAACTGAAAAAATCTGTTCGTTTGTGAAAAAAGAGTCATCCATGGCAAAATTAGGAACCATTCCTGATTTTGCCACGAATCATTTTTTGATCAAAAAACTTGAAATTTTTCAAGAATTCGATTGTATTTCCCCTGGTATTTTTTTTAAATTGTTGGCCCAAAATTTCAAATGATCTAGCTTTACACTAGAAACCTGAAAATATGAAGTTTTTTCGAAATTTCGCGCGAAAATTTTTCGCGAAACAAAACATCCGTGGCCGAAATATTGAAATGACCGAGTTTCCCAAATCCTCGGCCACGGGTGTTTTTTGTTTTTTTTGTCACCTTAACCACTTCGTTTCAACCCTGTGTTGGAACGAACAAATAGAGAAAACGCGACGCAGACAGAAAAAACCCCGAAAATTAAAAAAAATGAGAGTTCATGGACCAGGACCCAACAGTTGGCTGGTTGCCAGCCTTATTAAATTTCGCGCGGTTTTTTCTTTCCTATTCTGCACGCTCTCTCTGTCTCTATTTGTTCGCCCTGAAACGAAGTGATAACTGTTTTCAATTAGAAATTTCCAGAAGAATCTTCTCAAAAATGGCTTCTCACACAGAGGAAATCGAAAAATTTGCGTGGTCCGATCTTCCCGTCGAAATTGCTCCAATAATAATCGATAAAATGGACACAAAAACTCGCTGCAAATTCGGACAAACCTCAAACTTGTCTCAATATTTGGCCAAGGATTCGATGAATTATATATATGGCTTGAAAATCCACGAATGTCGAGAAACATACAAAAAACAATTGATTTTCTATTTTGACGAGAAGAAAGATTCGTGGGTTCCTGGAGATTATTGGTTGGAATTTTTGAAAGTTGAAGGAGATGAGAATTTGACTGTTTTATGTTATAAAACAAAAGAAGAAGAATCGAAGGAAATATTGAAATGGTCTGAAATTGTTGAAGGAAAACCGGAAGATGTTCGGATGAAATATATCAGAGAAACTTTGGAGAAATATCCGAAAATTAGATATTTGAGAATTTTTGTGAGTTTTTACAAACTTTTTTTCAAAGTTTAGCTCAAAAGAAATAGTTTTTGCTTTTTTTCAGGATACCAATATTTCCCTGAACGATTTCAACATCAAAAACTTGAAAAAACTCGAAACTCTCGATTTCGCCGATCATTTTCCACCAATCGATTCAGAAACCTTTGAAAACTTCATTGGATTCGAAAAAATATTGAAATACAAGTATTTGAGAGTTGCTGGAATAACACTGTCTTTCGAGAAAATTATGGAATTCACTGGAGATCGAATTCACGTCAAATCCCCCGATTTTGACCTCGAAAACATCAAGAAATATCTGAAAATGATCAAAAATGAGGAGATTTGGCGGGATTGTACACAGATTAGTCGAATTCACAATCATGAAGAAGGTTTTTTGGAACCAACCAGCATTTTTGAGGGTTTGGATGGTTTTGGATATCAAGAGGACTATGAGTTAGTTTTTGGGGAACAATTTTTTTTTTGAAATCTCAAAGTTTTTTTTTGCAGATCTTCATGCCGTTTTAATTTCGCTTCAAAATCGGGTCGCAAATTCCACGTGGAATTCGATCCCTCTTTCTTGGAAATCGCTTTGGCCAGGGAGGGATATTACAACTCGAGGAGTGAAAATTAGATTTTTTAAATTTCACGTAACCTTTTGTTGTTTTCTGTTAATTGTTGTTATAAAGTTTTTTCAGATTTGGTTTTCAGCTTCTAACTTTGTTGATATTAGGTGTCAGAAAAAATTCAATAGTTTTCTTGATCCATCTCAACGAGACGAATCTGATGGTATATTCAAAATTTTCAGAAATCATCTCTAACGTGCTGAAAATGCGCAAACGCGCGCTGAAACCAAAAAAAACAATCTTCAGTGTGCAAACACCGTGACGCACAAATGCACAAAAATCACATACCGTATCATTTTTCACATTTTCTGTTTTTTTTTCCTTTGGCCTATTTACATGTTTTTGGCATTGTTTTGGAGTATGATTTACAAACGCTTTTTCTTTTCAATAAAAGTATTTTCAGCAGAATGGGTCCAGTTCCAAGAAAACGACCAAGAATGGCGAGAAACTTGGGAAATTTGAAGTGGAATTCAATTCCAGAAGAAATGCAACAAATGATTGTCGATAAAATGGATCGAAAAACCAATTGTAAATTCATGCGATGCTCGAAAAAATCGGAAAATCAAGCGAGAAGATCGCCCGATTATTTATATAGTTATGAGATCAGAGAAGATGAGACCAGCAAAAAGAAGATGTTGCTGTTATCATTCACAAAACATTCAATGACACGTTATTGGTATGAGTTTGCGGAAGTTCAAGGCGAACCAAATCGAACTGTTGTTATGTACAAGTATAATAGTCCCGAAAATGCAATGAAATCAGTTACAAAATGGGTGGAATTAGTTGATGGAAGTCCGGAAGAAAATCGATTGAAATATATTCAGAAACATATTCAAAGTTATAAATATAGTATCAAGCTGTTCAAAATTAATGTAAGATTAACTCGATTTTCTAGATCACACATTCTTAAATAGAAGTTTACAGGATTCGAATGTGCCAATTGAAAAATTTGATGTTCGAGAGCTAAAATGCTTGAAAAAACTGATGTTCCATTTCGAGTTTCCCGAAATATCTGAGGAGAAAATGAACAACTTTGCTGACATCAAAAAACTACAAAATATTTCGAATCTTCAAGCTCTTTCATTGATTTTCACATTTGAACAAGTTGTGAACTTTAATGGGAAGAAATTGGTTATCAGATCCGCTGAATTCAATTTGGAGAACATGTCAAAATATTTGATAATGTTGCAAATGGAAGATATTGTTATTAATGAATTGTCGGTTATTCGCTCTGTTCGAGATCAATTTGCGTTGCGAGATTTGACAAAGAATTTGAGATTTTCGAATTATGTGGAAGAGAAAGACTACGAAGAGGATGAAACTACGTGAGATTTGTTACAAGTGGTTTGGTTTAACTTACAATTGAGACCTTTATCAAAAATTGTAGAACTCAACTCCTTATATGAGTTATGACGTGGTAAAGTTTGAATATTTCGGAAGTTAGACATGCAAAATCACAATTTCTCGAAATTTTCAAACTTTACCACGTCATTACTCATATCAGGAGTTGAGTTTTGCAAATTTTGACATTTAAATTGTAATAAGGGGGTCAAAAATTAGAAGAAATCCTATTTTTCATAAAAAAAAATCTCGAGGTTGGCACGTTGAACCAGTTCCTTGTCAGATTTTCGAAAAAAAAAATAAATATACCCCAAATTTCCAGATCCTCGTGCACTTTCACTCTCAACTCATTGAATGGTCGAAAATATTCTGTCACTTTATCAAAATACAGTTTCGAAATCTATGTTATGAAATGAATATAGTTTGGAACTATGTTAATCTTTTTTGTTTTTGTTGTTTACTTTTCGTTTTGAATTTCATGAATTTCTGTTTATTTTTTGTTTTACTATTTTCTAGACCCCAAACCTGATAGCGGTAGATCAAAAAATATTTTTTTTTCAAAGTGTGTTTGTGTGCAGAGACACACGTGGCCGAGGAATGCCGGAAACTTGGCCATGTTTATTTTATTTTTGAAAATTCTTTTTTCCGCCTCAAAATTGAAGCCAGGGGATTCTCAGGTTACCCATGAAAAACACCCGGATATTCCCGTAAATCATTTCCCCAAAAGTACTGTCATTTTGTTTGGATTTTTCCAGAAAAATGAGAAGAAATTCAAAAAAACAGCAACGATTATTGAAAAAAGCCAAAAAATTCGTAATCTTCAAATGGAATTCAATACCAGAAGAAATGCAACAAATGATTGTCGATAAAATGGATCGAAAAACCAATTGTAAATTCATGCGATGCTCGAAAAAATCGGAAAATCAAGCGAGAAGATCGCCCGATTATTTATATAGTTATGAGATCAAAGATGCTGATGGAATTAAAGTTTTGATGTTATCATTCACTGAAATGGGAACTGATTATTGGTATGAATTTTTGGAAGTACCAATAATCAGTTCCCATTTCAGTGAATGATAACATCAAAACTTTAATTCGATCAGCATCTTTGATTTCATATCCATATAAATAATCGGGCGATCTTCTCGCTTGATTTTCCGATTTTTTGAGCATCGCATGAATTTACAATTGGTTTTTTCGATCCATTTTATCGACAATCATTTGTTGCATTTCTTCTGGTATTGAATTCCATGGTCTCCGAATTTTGTGAATCAACCAAAAAAATTCGAAGGGTCTCCGAATTTTGTGATTGAACCAAAAAAATTCGAAGGGTCTCCGAATTTTGTGATTGAACCAAAAAATTCGAAGGGTCTCCGAATTTTGTGATTGAACCAAAAAATTCGAAGGGTCTCCGAATTTTGTGAATCAACCAAAAAATTCGAAGGGTCTCCGAATTTTGTGATTGAACCAAAAAATTCGAAGGGTCTCCGAATTTTGTGATTGAACCAAAAAAATTCGAAGGGTCTCCGAATTTTGTGAATCAACCAAAAAAATTCGAAGGGTCTCCGAATTTTGTGAATCAACCAAAAAAATTCGAAGGGTCTCCGAATTTTGTGATTGAACCAAAAAAATTCGAAGGGTCTCCGAATTTTGTGATTGAACCAAAAAATTCGAAGGGTCTCCGAATTTTGTGAATCAACCAAAAAAATTCGAAGGGTCTCCGAATTTTGTGAATCAACCAAAAAATTCGAAGGGTCTCCGAATTTTGTGAATCAACCAAAAAATTCGAAGGGTCTCCGAATTTTGTGATTGAACCAAAAAAATTCGAAGGGTCTCCGAATTTTGTGATTGAACCAAAAAAATTCGAAGGGTCTCCGAATTTTGTGAATCAACCAAAAAAATTCGAAGGGTCTCCGAATTTTGTGATTGAACCAAAAAATTCGAAGGGTCTCCGAATTTTGTGATTGAACCAAAAAAATTCGAAGGGTCTCCGAATTTTGTGATTGAACCAAAAAATTCGAAGGGTCTCCGAATTTTGTGATTGAACCAAAAAAATTCGAAGGGTCTCCGAATTTTGTGATTGAACCAAAAAAATTCGAAGGGTCTCCGAATTTTGTGAATCAACCAAAAAATTCGAAGGGTCTCCGAATTTTGTGATTGAACCAAAAAATTCGAAGGGTCTCCGAATTTTGTGATTGAACCAAAAAATTCGAAGGGTCTCCGAATTTTGTGATTGAACCAAAAAAATTCGAAGGGTCTCCGAATTTTGTGAATCAACCAAAAAAATTCGAAGGGTCTCCGAATTTTGTGAATCAACCAAAAAAATTCGAAGGGTCTCCGAATTTTGTGATTGAACCAAAAAAATTCGAAGGGTCTCCGAATTTTGTGATTGAACCAAAAAAATTCGAAGGGTCTCCGAATTTTGTGATTGAACCAAAAAAATTCGAAGGGTCTCCGAATTTTGTGAATCAACCAAAAAAATTCGAAGGGTCTCCGAATTTTGTGATTGAACCAAAAAATTCGAAGGGTCTCCGAATTTTGTGATTGAACCAAAAAAATTCGAAGGGTCTCCGAATTTTGTGAATCAACCAAAAAAATTCGAAGGGTCTCCGAATTTTGTGATTGAACCAAAAAATTCGAAGGGTCTCCGAATTTTGTGATTGAACCAAAAAATTCGAAGGGTCTCCGAATTTTGTGATTGAACCAAAAAATTCGAAGGGTCTCCGAATTTTGTGAATCAACCAAAAAAATTCGAAGGGTCTCCGAATTTTGTGATTGAACCAAAAAAATTCGAAGGGTCTCCGAATTTTGTGATTGAACCAAAAAAATTCGAAGGGTCTCCGAATTTTGTGATTGAACCAAAAAAATTCGAAGGGTCTCCGAATTTTGTGAATCAACCAAAAAAATTCGAAGGGTCTCCGAATTTTGTGATTGAACCAAAAAAATTCGAAGGGTCTCCGAATTTTGTGAATCAACCAAAAAAATTCGAAGGGTCTCCAAACTTTGTGAATCAACCAAAAAAATTCGAAGGGTCTCCGAATTTTGTGATTGAACCAAAAAATTCGAAGGGTCTCCGAATTTTGTGATTGAACCAAAAAAATTCGAAGGGTCTCCGAATTTTGTGAATCAACCAAAAAAATTCGAAGGGTCTCCGAATTTTGTGAATCAACCAAAAAAATTCGAAGGGTCTCCGAATTTTGTGATTGAACCAAAAAAATTCGAAGGGTCTCCGAATTTTGTGATTGAACCAAAAAAATTCGAAGGGTCTCCGAATTTTGTGATTGAACCAAAAAAATTCGAAGGGTCTCCGAATTTTGTGATTGAACCAAAAAAATTCGAAGGGTCTCCGAATTTTGTGATTGAACCAAAAAAATTCGAAGGGTCTCCGAATTTTGTGAATCAACCAAAAAAATTCGAAGGGTCTCCGAATTTTGTGATTGAACCAAAAAATTCGAAGGGTCTCCGAATTTTGTGAATCAACCAAAAAAATTCGAAGGGTCTCCAAACTTTGTGAATCAACCAAAAAAATTCGAAGGGTCTCCGAATTTTGTGATTGAACCAAAAAAATTCGAAGGGTCTCCGAATTTTGTGAATCAACCAAAAAAATTCGAAGGGTCTCCGAATTTTGTGATTGAACCAAAAAAATTCGAAGGGTCTCCGAATTTTGTGAATCAACCAAAAAAATTCGAAGGGTCTCCGAATTTTGTGAATCAACCAAAAAAATTCGAAGGGTCTCCGAATTTTGTGATTGAACCAAAAAAATTCGAAGGGTCTCCGAATTTTGTGAATCAACCAAAAAATTCGAAGGGTCTCCGAATTTTGTGAATCAACCAAAAAAATTCGAAGGGTCTCCGAATTTTGTGAATCAACCAAAAAAATTCGAAGGGTCTCCGAATTTTGTGATTGAACCAAAAAAATTCGAAGAGGTCTCCGAATTTTGTGATTGAACCAAAAAAATTCGAAGGGTCTCCGAATTTTGTGATTGAACCAAAAAAATTCGAAGGGTCTCCGAATTTTGTGAATCAACCAAAAAATTCGAAGGGTCTCCGAATTTTGTGATTGAACCAAAAAATTCGAAGGGTCTCCGAATTTTGTGATTGAACCAAAAAATTCGAAGGGTCTCCGAATTTTGTGAACCAACCAAAAAAATTCGAAGGGTCTCCGAATTTTGTGAATCAACCAAAAAAATTCGAAGGGTCTCCGAATTTTGTGAACCAACCAAAAAAATTCGAAGGGTCTCCGAATTTTGTGATTGAACCAAAAAAATTCGAAGGGTCTCCGAATTTTGTGAATCAACCAAAAAAATTCGAAGGGTCTCCGAATTTTGTGAATCAACCAAAAAAATTCGAAGGGTCTCCGAATTTTGTGAATCAACCAAAAAAATTCGAAGGGTCTCCGAATTTTGTGAATCAACCAAAAAATTCGAAGGGTCTCCGAATTTTGTGAATCAACCAAAAAATTCGAAGGGTCTCCGAATTTTGTGATTGAACCAAAAAAATTCGAAGGGTCTCCGAATTTTGTGAATCAACCAAAAAATTCGAAGGGTCTCCGAATTTTGTGAATCAACCAAAAAAATTCGAAGGGTCTCCGAATTTTGTGATTGAACCAAAAAAATTCGAAGGGTCTCCGAATTTTGTGAATCAACCAAAAAAATTCGAAGGGTCTCCGAATTTTGTGAATCAACCAAAAAAATTCGAAGGGTCTCCGAATTTTGTGAATCAACCAAAAAAATTCGAAGGGTCTCCGAATTTTGTGAATCAACCAAAAAAATTCGAAGGGTCTCCGAATTTTGTGATTGAACCAAAAAATTCGAAGAGGTCTCCGAATTTTGTGAATCAACCAAAAAAATTCGAAGGGTCTCCGAATTTTGTGAATCAACCAAAAAATTCGAAGGGTCTCCGAATTTTGTGAATCAACCAAAAAAATTCGAAGGGTCTCCGAATTTTGTGAATCAACCAAAAAATTCGAAGGGTCTCCGAATTTTGTGAATCAACCAAAAAAATTCGAAGGGTCTCCGAATTTTGTGAATCAACCAAACAAATTCGAAGGGTCTCCGAATTTTGTGAATCAACCAAAAAAATTCGAAGGGTCTCCGAATTTTGTGAATCAACCAAAAAAATTCGAAGGGTCTCCGAATTTTGTGAATCAACCAAAAAAATTCGAAGGGTCTCCGAATTTTGTGATTGAACCATAAAAATTCGAAGGGTCTCCGAATTTTGTGAATCAACCAAAAAATTCGAAGGGTCTCCGAATTTTGTGAATCAACCAAAAAAATTCGAAGGGTCTCCGAATTTTGTGATTGAACCAAAAAATTCGAAGGGTCTCCGAATTTTGTGATTGAACCAAAAAAATTCGAAGGGTCTCCGAATTTTGTGAATCAACCAAAAAAATTCGAAGGGTCTCCGAATTTTGTGATTGAACCAAAAAAATTCGAAGGGTCTCCGAATTTTGTGAATCAACCAAAAAAATTCGAAGGGTCTCCGAATTTTGTGATTGAACCAAAAAATTCGAAGGGTCTCCGAATTTTGTGATTGAACCAAAAAAATTCGAAGGGTCTCCGAATTTTGTGAATCAACCAAAAAAATTCGAAGGGTCTCCGAATTTTGTGAATCAACCAAAAAATTCGAAGGGTCTCCGAATTTTGTGAATCAACCAAAAAAATTCGAAGGGTCTCCGAATTTTGTGAATCAACCAAAAAATTCGAAGGGTCTCCGAATTTTGTGAATCAACCAAAAAAATTCGAAGGGTCTCCGAATTTTGTGAATCAACCAAAAAAATTCGAAGGGTCTCCGAATTTTGTGAATCAACCAAAAAAATTCGAAGGGTCTCCGAATTTTGTGAATCAACCAAAAAATTCGAAGGGTCTCCGAATTTTGTGATTGAACCAAAAAATTCGAAGGGTCTCCGAATTTTGTGAATCAACCAAAAAAATTCGAAGGGTCTCCGAATTTTGTGAATCAACCAAAAAAATTCGAAGGGTCTCCGAATTTTGTGAATCAACCAAAAAATTCGAAGGGTCTCCGAATTTTGTGAATCAACCAAAAAAATTCGAAGGGTCTCCGAATTTTGTGAATCAA